AGTCGAGCGCAGTGCTGTGAAGCTGTCCGCAGCCTCTGCATCAGTTCAATCCCGTTCAATCCCCGGCCAGGGAGCTACCCACATGGTGCGGCAGACCTCTCCTGACTCGCCCGCTGCTCCCCTCAGCAGTGTACTTCGGTCTATCCACTCTGTCTCTGGTGAATCCTCTCACCTCCCACACCTCTGGCCTGTACCCCGGTTCTTGTAATCCTATATAAATAAATCTTTTATTAAAAAAAAAAATACCTTCACTCTGGCTCCCACAGGTTTTGCTCCTCCAGCCCTACCCATACTGGGCCCTCGTTATTATAGTTCTTTGAGACCTTATTCTTTTCTGATTGCCCAGCCGGCGCGAGGGTCTCCCCTGGTGAGCACTGTAACAGTAGTTACTGCGCGGACCTAGAAGGTGCGAGAGGGTCGAAGGCCAGGAGGAGGACACCGGAGGCGGGAAGGTGCCTGGCCGCTGACCCCCTGGCAAGTTTTCTCCGCGGGGAGCCTCGGGCTCCAGGCCTGGGGGAAGCTCCTCCGCGGGCGTGGCAGCCTCTGGAAGTTTCGGCACCACAGCAGGCTGGCTGACTGGCCGGGACGCCGGCAGCGCCAGCCCTAAGCGGGAAAGTACAGGCGGTCAGGCGGCTCCTGGCGGTGCCCAGCGCGCCTCTCCCGCGCCTCCCGCCTCCCGCGCCTCCCGCGCCTCTCCCACCTCTCCCGCCTCCCGCGCCTCTCCCGCCTCTCCCGCCTCCCGCGCCTCCCGCCTCCCGCGCCTCTCCCGCCTCCCGCGCCTCCCGCCTCTCCCGCCTCTCCCGCCTCCCGCGCCTCTCCCGCCTCCCGCGCCTCTCCCGCCTCCCGCGCCTCTCGCGCCTCTCCCGCCTCCCGCCTCCCGCCTCCCGCGCCTCTCCCGCCTCCCGCGCCTCTCCCGCCTCCCGCCTCCCGCGCCTCTCCCGCCTCCCGCGCCTCTCCCGCCTCTCCCACCTCTCCCGCCTCCCGCGCCTCTCCCGCCTCTCCCGCCTCTCCCGCCTCCCGCGCCTCCCGCCTCTCCCGCCTCCCGCGCCTCCCGCCTCTCCCGCCCGCCCGAGCGCAGAGCGCGGAGCGCGACGCTCGCAGGACTCACAGGACCTGGTGCGAGCGGCCCCGGGGCCCCGTGTCCGCAGACTCGCGAAGCAGCCGTCGGAGCAGCCGGAGGGGCCCCTGGAACTGCGCGCCGGACCGGCCGGACGCCGTCGGGAGGGACGAGAGTGAGTGCGCGGGGCGCGCGCCCCCGGGGCGGCGGGGTCGAAGGGCGCGGAGGATTTCTGGGCAGGGATGGAGACCGGGGCCGGGGTGAAGAGAGCTCGGCTAGCACCGAAAACAGAAAGTCAGGTAGAAGAGAAGGGGATGTGATTTTTCCCCCTCTAGGTATGTCTCTTCCCCCCTCTCCCCTCCCTCTCCCCTCCCTTGTAAATAAACCTTTTATGAACCTTTTGTGTGTGTCTGTAGTGGAGTATTCATAAGTCCCTTGTAAGCGCGCGGGTGAGGACCCACAGCCAGGCACCCCGTTCAATATCGGGGCTACCCTATAGCACAACCACTATGGGGGTGGAGGGGCCCTTGCTGCCCCAGCCAGATAAGACACTGGCAAGCAGCTAAGAAAAAGAGCCTCACTGTGGGGCTGAAGAGAAAGGGCCACACACCGTGGGGCCGAAGATTTCCAAAGAGCCTCACACCGTGGGGCTGATGATTCCTTGTGCCTCGCACACCGTGGGCTGAAGATTAATTTATAACCTATAAGCATCCCTTTGTTTTTTGTTCTTGGTCATAAAAAAAGAAAAACTTCTCAGAAAATACATTGGGCAATAAAGTATATGTGTAAGAATATTATAAGCACATGGCACAGAGAATTACCTGCTAAAAAATTAAACACTGTAAATTTGGCCTGCCTGACAATGAATGGGAAAGAGTTTGTTATACATGAACATGCCTGACAAGCAATCCAGGATGATTATAGTAAGTTCTTCTTTTGCTTTTTTTAGAAGTTTCTTAGGAAAGTTTTAAAATGAAGTTAATTATGTTAAGAAGTTTCTAGGTAGAAAATCCTGTTAGCTGATAACCAAAAAGTAGCTGGTCTCTGGCTGAAGGTCATATGAATAGAAGAGTCTTTTGATGCTTAGGCTTTAGCTGATAGGGGTGTACTGGTGGCTATCAACTGTCTTAGGTAATTGTCTAAGCTAAAATAATGAGTTTTAGTGTAAGGTTTAGTTTTTTATCTATTAACCTTGAAGGTTGCCTTTTTGCTGAGAGCACGTAGCAGCCAAAAGTCTATGGGAAAAGAATGCACTGATTGTTTCTGCTTTGCTTCTATGTATATGATGATGTCATCTCACTGCTTGCAAAAAATGAATAAAGACCTGCTGAGTCCCTCAGTAGAAAATGCTTGCACCTCATCGAGTGTCAGTGTCTCCTCACTACCTCATCCCCTTCCCCTTAACCCTTAAGATTTCGCCAACGCCATCTCATCCTTTCAGGGACTCCTGACATGACATTTTGCCGAGGCTGGTCTTCAGCAACTATGGAACGCTGTGTGGCGCTTCCTCAACCTACTAAAGATAGAGCTTCCATATGATCCAGCAATTCCACTCCTAGGTATTTACCCAAAGGACACAGAAACATTAATTCCAAAGGGCACCTGCACCCCTATGTTTATAGCAGCACTATTTACAATAACTAAGCTTTGGAAACAACCCAAATGCCCAAAAATAGATGACTGGATCAAGAAGATGTGGTACATATACACCATGGAATATTACTCAGCAATCAAAAAAGATAAGCACATGCAATTTGCAGCAACATGGATGGAGCTGGAAGGGATCATGCTCAGCGAAATAAGCCAGAAAGAAAAAGAAAACTACCAGATGATTTCACTCATAGCAGGAATCTAGAAAACCTAAATAAGGGACCAGGAAAAAGAATAACTATAAGAAAGAAAAAATCAAAATCAACAACTATAAACCAGAGGCACACTATGGGGGGTGGGGTCAAAAATAAGGGGGGGTCAAAATAAGGTGGGTGCAATTGTATGGGGAATATAAAAATAAAGTAAAAAAAAGTCTAAATCAGAAAATTTTATGGAGCAATGGATTTATAATTAAAAATTAGAAAAAAAAAACTGCAACCTATGAAGCTATTAGCAATCACAGCAGCATAAGTTCAATCTCTGGTGCAGCAGACCTCTCCTGACTCACCTGCTCACTCACTCACCTCTCCTGACTCCCCTCAGCAGTGTATTTCATCAGTCTGCCTGTTCTGTTCCCCGTTCTTTCTCTGATGAATCCTCTCACCCTCCCACGAATCTGGCCTGTACCCCGGTTCTTGTATAAATAAATAAATCTTTTTAAAAAATAAATAAAAGATAGCATCTCATAAAAACTTGTTTTAATGTGGTGAACCTTTCAAATGCCATATAGGAGAAACAAAATATGTTAGCCTAGGAACTCCTAGGTTTTAATCGCTGCCATACTCAGACCCATGTTTACTATAATATGGCCCAAATTTTTCCACCTTTGCTCACAGTGTATGCTTTACTTAAGTTACATTAATTTCTGCCTTTCCTTTTCAGAACCCCCATTCCAAGCTATTCAACAGCAAATGTGCTGAGCACTGTTCCAAACATGAGAATAAAAAAATAAAATTCAATCCAGAGTTTATATTCTAGTAATCTCTGGAAGTAAAATTGTAAATGATTTCTTTTGTATCTTTTACTTATTCTTGATTTTCTTTTTTTAACCTAAATTAATGGAGAGTGATATTATAAGCTTTAATATGTAGAACAACTCGGGCCTCCCCAGTGGCACAGCGGGTTGAGCGCCATGCTGTGAAACTGTCCGCAGCTTCTGCAGTGCAGCTTCGATCCTCACCGGCTGGTGAGAATCCCATGTAGTATGGCAGACCTCTCCTGTCGTGCCCGCTGCTCCCCTCAGCAATGTATTTCTGTCATCTGACTGTTCTGCTCCCCACTCTGTCTCTGGTGAATCCTCTCACCCTGTCGTGCCTCTTGCCTATACCCCAGCTCTTGTATAAAAATAAATAAATCTTTAAAAAAAAAATGTAGAACAACTTGGGTGAGTTGAACATTTAATATGACATTTTTAGAGCTTATTTTCAGGTACTACCATTTCATTTTTAAAATACTTTGTTCGCCTTTCTAGGAGTTACAGTGAAAATTCTCCCTAATGAATTGGTTATTCACACTCTGGCAGACCACAGGAAGAAGTGGATTTACAGTGAAACTAATAAAGTGTAATCTTCAGGACTTCTCACAGTGTATCTCCCAAAGCCCTGTACCTAAACCCTCCTGCCAACATTTACTCATGAAAACTTCCATATACACAAAAAAGTCAGTAGAATTATACGTGGGACACTTTTACACCCACCCACTAAATCCTACAACTAGCAATTTACTATATTTGTTTAATCACATACTTAACCATTTGTCCATATCTATCCATTAATACTTCCTAATTTCTTATGTATGAAAAGGAAAATTTCTGACATCAGTACACTTCATTTCTAAACACTTGAGCATTTATTAACTGAAATTCAATTGTTTGTTTTATGGAGGTTTTGGGGGGAGGAGACAAACAAGTAAATTTTCCATGTTGAGAAATGCATAAATCCTCACTAGATCATGTGATAGATTTGGACAAATGCATACATATTAGTAATGCAAACTCCTACCCCAATAATATGACACCAGAAATTTCCATTATGCCCATCACTCAGTCCCCCTCTTTAGACTCCTTTCTCCTGCCCCATAATTCTGATTTTTTTTTGGGGGGGGCAGCATAAGGTATAATTGTCACAGGATAAACTACACACATTTTAAAGTGTGCAACCTGATAAGTTTTGACATGTGTACACCCAAGAAAGCATCACAATCAAGGGTCCTATTGTAACAGGGTGGTCCCCAAGAAAGGAGGAAGTTCCAGGTTCCCTGCCCCACCCAAGGGAGGGTGGAGCTGAGCAGGAAGAGGAGAAGCGGCAGAAGAGACTAAGGAAGGAAGGAAGCAGGATGGAGCCAGGAGACCTGGAGGAGGCGCATGGAGCCTAGAGACATGTGAAGAAACTGCGCTTGTCTTTTGGTCGTGGACGGGGTGACACAGATGTGGGTGAGACCCGTAGGGAGGTGACAATGGCAGCTTTTATCTTGATGTTGATTTTGCTCTTTTCCTTCTGGGCTTGTCTGGTTGTTTCTGACTCTTTTCTGTGGGTCCCCACTGGAAGATGCTTTAGACTTGTGGCAGGCTTTGGGGCCTTGCTCTGGGCCGATCCCATATGGATGGAGTTTTACCCACGAGGGGACGGGTAACTTTGGGTGCTTCATTTAGAAACTAGACTCTTTGCCTTACCTGTATTGTTTCCTAGTTTTTATTAAAGTTCCTTCCCATTGAAGTGTCATATGTTTTGTGTTGATGCGGCGGATGGCAGAACCCATTTAGAACAGGCAGGTTTGCGGGGTTTGGGCTGCCCCTCTCCCTGTCCTATAACACTATCGCCCACCCAAGTTCCTCATGGCCCTTTATAATCAATCCCTGTATCCCCTTTCCTGCTACTGATCTGTTTTCTGTCATTATAGTTTGCATTTTAAGCTTTATATAAACGAAATCATATGGTGCATAAAATGTTTGCCTTCTTTCACTCAGAATAATTATTTGAGATTCATCCAGGTTATTACCTGTATCTATAATTCATTACTTTTTACTCAATGGAATTGTAGAAACTATTCAACTATTCAAATTACAGTAGCTGAAAACTATGCCAATGTGTAGAGGGAACAATTAACATATCCATTCACCTAATGGCGAGCTTTCGAGTTGCTTCTAATTTTTGGATAACAAAGTGCACGTAAGCGCTTCCGCTCTTCCCTTGGGGAGCAGAACAAAGAAGACAGACGTAGATTTGTACCAATTAGAGGAGGCCTCCTAGCGTGGCCCCGCCTAGTCAGTTTACGACAAACCAGCCAATGACGGCGCTTCTGTTTCAGCCAAGGCCGACCTAACGAAGAAGAAGAGATGCTATTGGTTTGCGACTGGGACTGATGACCAATAGGGGCAGGTCGCGCCCGAGATTCGGGCGGGCCGCTTGAGCGGCTCCTGAGGGGTCGGCGTTCCGCGAGGGAGGCGTCCCTCGCTTGCGTGGGCTCTCGAGCGCGGCCGCGCCCTTCCGGCTTCAGGTGAGAGGGGCGCTCGCTTCCCCCCAGAGCTTGGGCCTCAGGCTCCGGAGTAACTTCCTGGATTTGGATTTCGGACGCGGGGCCTAGTGACGCCCCGTGGGGCGGCCGGGCCCGGAACGGGGCGGCCGGGGAGACTTGGCGCCTCCAACGGTCGCGGCCGAGGCGCCCGAACTCCCGCTCTGTCGGCGTCGCGGGGGAGGCGCCCGGGCAGCGGCTGCGGGCGGGACGGCTGGGACGGCGGGAACTTCCGTGACCCCTGGGAGCCCAGTTCGTCGCCTGCGGAGTCGGGACCCCCCTCTTTCTCCACAGGCTGCTGGCACCCGCTCCTGCGCCCCTTCAGGTCTCCACAGAACTTCGCCTCTCAGTCGCTCTGTGACGGGGGAGCTTCTTTTCCCCGCCCCCCCAAGTTCTACTGGCCTCAAAAAGTTGGGCTGAGGGAGCTAGAAAAGCCGCCTCGCGAACCTCAGGTACTAAGTGGCGGGGCGGGGATTTGAACCCGTGGACTCCGCGCCGGGGCGCGCTGATCGCAAGCTGAGCTCCGGCCTTGCGTGCGGTGGCGAGGGAGAGGCTCACCGTTTGCTCTAGCGCCGACTTGGATGGCGCACGTAGAAAATAAAAAGTAGCGTCGTGTGAAAGCCATGGGTGGCCTGCTGCCGTCTGCTCTAGGCACCCCGCCTTATCCCGGGGGTTGCAGGGGTCGAGACGTTTCCCCACATCGATCGGGAAGCTTTGCTCTAGACCAGCGCGGCTCTATGGAACTTTCTTTAAAAAAAAAAAAAATACTAAGGTTTTATTTATTTATGCATCTAAGAATTGAGGTGTAGGGCGGCGAGGTGGGGGGGATTGGTGAGAGGATTCACCAGAGACAGGATGGGGAGCAGAACAGGCGAACCCATTGAAATACACTGCTGAGTGTACTTGGGTCCTTCTGCCTGCTCTGCTCTAAGCTCTGGCTCTGGTGAATTCTCTCACCCTCCTCCGCTTCTGACTGTACCCAGTGCTTGTATAAATAAATAAATAAATCTTTTTTAAAAAAAGAAGAAGAAATACACTGCTGAGGGGAGTAGTAGGTGAGACAGGAGAGGTCTGCTGAGCCATGTGGGGGCTCCCTGGCTGGGGGTTGAACTCAGGCCTTGGCTAGCAGTGCCATAGCTTGATTGCGCTGAGACTTTAACCCCTGCGCCACCAGTGAGGCCCTTCATAGAACTTTCTTCTGCCAGGGTAAAAGTGTTCTGTGTCTCTGCTCTAGCTGTACCTCTTTGTATCGTGTTCTTAGTTGTTGGGGTTCATCGGCTGGTTGGTTTTGGCTTGGATTTTTGGGTGTAGGGTTCGTCATTCTATAGGTGTTTAGCAGCTGCTGGGCAGTTCTTGGTGTGGACCATACAGTTGTGAATTGCACTTGGATTCTTCTCTCTGTCTTCCTGTTTTAAGCAGAACTGGTTGCTCTCTAGGCAAAACTGGCATTTGATGGGAAGAAACTTCATTTTTAAACATTTAACCATCCTGAAAAGTACAGATACGAAGTTTTATTTTTTAAAAGATTTATTTATTCATGGATACAGAACCAGGGTACAGGTCAAATGTGTGGGACATGACAGGATTCACCAGAGACAGAGCGGGGGACCGAACAGGCCGACTGACTGAAGTAGGTCTGCTGTGCCATTTGGGTTTCTCTCCCTGGCCAGCCAGGATTGGACCGTGCTGCAGAGGCTGCGGACAGCTTCACAGCACTGTGCTCAAACGCCACCAGGGAGACCCAGATGAAGTTTTAAAAGACTTGTGCCCTCACCATCCAAATCTAACATAGCGTGGCCTTGACCCTTTGGTATAATTGCTTCTAATTTTTTTCCTTAAAGAAGTTACAAATAGGGCCTCCCCTGATGGCGCAGGCAGTTGAGCACAGTGCTGGGGAGCTGTCCACAGCCTCTGCAGCGCCGGTTCGATTCCGGCAGGCTGGCGAGGGTCCCACATGGCACGGCAGACCTCTCCTGCCTCGCCTGCTGCTCCCTTCAGCAGTGTATTTCGTCAGTCTGCCTGTTCTGTTCCCCTTGCCGTCTCTGGTGAATCCTCTCACCCTCCCACGAATCCGCCCTGTACCCCGGTTCTTGTATAAATAAATCTTTTTAAAAAAAAAAAAAAGTTACAAATATAGGGGCCTCCCTGGTGGTGCAAGGGGCTAAGTCTCAGCACTATGAAGCTATCAGCAGCCACTGCAGCATGAGTTCAACCCCAGGCCAGGGAACTAACCTACATGGCGCAACAGACCTCTCCTGTCTCACCTGCTGCTCCCCTCAGCAGTGTATTTCAGGAGATCCACCTGTTCTGCTCCCCACTTTGTCTCTAGTGAATCTTCTCACCCACCTACCCACCTCTGACTTACACCCCAGCTCTTGTATGCATAAATAAATAAATCTTTTTTTAAAATTACAAATAAAATGAAGGCCTCATGTGTACCCTTGCACACTCCCTCTGAAATAAGTCCAGATCGTAACATGGTTTTACATGTTTTTCAGTTTCATAAAAATGGGATTATAGTGGATTCATCTGCAATTTGCTTCTTTCTAATCAATGTAATTTTTGAGGAAAACTCACTGTTAACAAGTCTCTAACCATCTTGACCAGAGGTTTTGCTTTACTTTGTTCTCCATTTTCTTCTCTCTGGTACTTCAGCTAGTCAGATAGCCTGGCTTGGGTTTTGTTTTGTTTTTTTCTTTTTTCATTGCTTTATGTGACTGTCTTTTTTATTCTACTTGCTGGAGGTATCCTTGGATTTCTCTTCTGGTACTACTTGTACTTTGACTGTCATTTTTAATCTCCAAAAGTTGTTGTTTTCGGGCCTCCCCGGTGGCGCAGCGGTTGAGCCCTGGGTTGCGAAGCTGCCTGCGGCCTCTGCAGTGCCGGTTCGATCCCCACCTGCTCCCCGGCCACCGGAGGAGGGTCCCACATGGCGCGCAGACCTCTCCTGCCGCCCGCTGCTCCCCTCAGCAGTGTACTTTGGTCCTTCTGCCTGCTCTGCTCCCCGCTCTGACTCTGGTGAATTCTCTCACCCTTCCGCGCTTCTGACTGTACCCAGTGCTTGTATAAATAAAAATAAATAAATAAATAAATCTTTTTTTTTTTTTTTTTAAGATTTATATATATATTTATTTATTTATACAAGCACTGGGTACAGTCAGAAGCGCGGGAGGGTGAGAGAATTCACCAGAGCCAGAGCGGGGAGCAGAGCAGGCAGAAGGACCAAAGTACACTACTGAGGGGAGCAGCGGGCGGCAGGAGAGGTCTGCCCGCCATGTGGGACGGTGGGACCCTCCTCCGGTGGCCGGGGAGCAGGTGGGGATCGAACAGGCGCTACGGAGGCCGCGAGCAGCTTTGCAACCCAGCGCTCAACCGCTGCGCCACCGGGAAGGCCCAATAAATAAATCTTTTTAAAAAAAAAGTTGTTGTTTTCTGATTTGTCCTTTCCCCCCTCCCTATATCGTTAGTGTGAAATTTTTTTTTAAAGATTTATTTATTTATGCATACAAGAACTGGGGTACAGGCCAGCCATGCTGGGTGGTGAGAGGATTCACCAGAGACAGTGGGGAGCAGAACAGGCGGATGGACCATAATACACTGCTGAGGGAAGCAGTGGGCGAGACAGGAGTGGTCTGCTGCGCCAGGTGGTTATCTCCCTGGCTGGGGATCGAACTCGTGCTGCAGTGGCTGCAGAGTGTCATAGTGCTGATATTTAACCCTTTGCACCACCAGGGAGGCCCAATGTAGAATATTTTAAAACTGTTTCTTGCCTTGTCTTCTTTCTCCTAAGATTCTTCTGTTTGTCTACTTTTGTCTCTCTCATGTTGGAGGCATCCTTCCAATATACAGCGATGGAGTCTTAAAGCACTTCTTTCCATCTCCACTGTTAGCAGTCTTTCTCAAACCTCTCTGACCGCTAGTTTACACTCCCACAATAGCCTATAAACTGGTTACCTTGCTTGAACTTTTTTTCTTTTAGATTTATATAAGAACTAGGGTGTAGGTCAGAGATGCAGGGGTGGGGATGAGAGAATTTGCCAGAAGCAGAGTGGGGAGCAGAACAAGCAGATCTACTGAGATACACTGCTGAGGGGAGCAACTTGAATTGTTGCTCCCTTATAGTCCATTCCTACACAGAGGAAATTTATTGCTGAGGTCCTTGAGGCCTTCATATGATAGTATCCTGCCTTATCACCCTCATCCCATACTGTCTGCTCTTCCTTACTATGCTTGTTATTCTGGTCTACTTTTTTCTCATGCACCAAACCCACACTCACCAGAGACCTGTGTACTGATGTCCTTCTGAAATGCTCTCTTGGCTCTTCTTGACCACCTTCTTTACACCCTTCATACCTCACCTCAGTTTTTCACTCTGAGTGACACAGTTGTGTCTAAAATGGTGCACCTTGTCTCACTCCCAATACCAAATATCAGCTTATATAGTCAGTATTTCATAATTGTTTATTTTTCCATTGGCTAGAATGTAAACTCAATCTAAAACAAAACTCCTTAAAGGTTAGCTGTATTGGCTATATGACCTGTTTTTTATCTATTTTACTAATACTTTTTACGAATATTGCTTTCCCAGTGATGGCTCACGAAGCAATGGAATGTGATCTTCATATGGAGTTAGAGCAGCCGGCTCCTGCAGAAGCGGTTAGCAGCCAAGGAGAACCACCCCTGCTCCTGCCTGCTCCTGCTGAAGTGGCCAACAGTCAAGGGGGACCACTCCTGTTTCAGCCCTCTCTTGCAGAAGTGCTCAGCAGCCCAGGGGTGGGACCACTCCTAATACAGCCTGCTCCTGCTGAAGTGCTCAGCAGCCCAGGGGTGGGACCACTCCTAATTCAGCCCGCTCCTGCTGAAGTGCTCAGCAGTCAGGGTGGAATGCCTTTTCTCCCACCTTTACCACAAGTGTCCATTAATCTGACAGAGAGAGTAGGGGCCTTGACAGGAGATAATGTTGAGAACATTAATCCAGGAACTTCGGAAGCCCAGGGCCAGGGATCTGGTGTTAACCACACTGTCAGGGTAGCTTCGTTGAATTCAATGAACAGCTTTATCAGTGGACTGCAGAGACTTCATGGCATGCTGGAATTTCTGAGACCTTCATCTGCAGACCATGGTGTCGGGCCAATGAGAGCAAGGAGGAGGAGGGGTTCTGCTTCGCGCAGGGCAAGAGTCTTGGGATCTCAGAGGACAGATGGTGCCAGGTAAATAATGTTTGACTTGTGTGGTTGGGAATTGATAACCTTAGGCTGTGGTCATTGAGTCCTTTGAAGTTTGGCATTGATACTTGACAAATCAGGTAACTTTTCTGAACTCCATTTTTTCATAAGTCACATGAAAATAAAAGTGCTTGTCTTACTTACTTCACAAAATAATTGAAAGGAAAAGTTACCCTGCTGTGCTTTGAAAACTAGGTGGCAGTTTGTTGGTAGTGCTTTCTGTAGAAGCTGGCTTTTCAAATTATTTGTGTCTTGTATGTCAAAAATGTATTAACTTGCAAGTACATTCCACTCACCTAGGATTTATTGGCAGTCCTCTCAGTTGTGTGGTAGACTTTGGAAGACAGGCAGGCTGGATTTAGAGAAACTTTATAAAAAGTAAAATGTGAACTAATTTAGACCTTATCTAAGTGGGAAACAATCTAGTCCTCCTAACCTGAGATTGTGTTGCAGAGTTGAAAATAATTTTGTGTTCTAGTTTAGATGATACTAAAAAACTGAAAATAGGCAATATATTACCTGTTTTACAATTCCCTGTGAAGTAGATTCCCGACCAGTTCACAATTTTTAATTAACCTGGTCTATTTTGTTGTTCTCACTTTCCCTCCCCTTCCTCTGCCCCTTGAGGGATTTTACTCACCTTAATTTTATTTATTTGGAGAACAGAACAGGTGGATTTATTGGGGAGATCTGCTGCGCCTCCCCTTAATTTTAAGAGGTTTTGGGGAGAAGTTCTCTTCTTCTGTAACTGCTTCCTGTTGGTCAGGGTCATAGTCTCAAAGCCCTAGAGGAGTGAAAATATTTTGCTATTTGTTTTAGCTAGAGGTAGAAGTGACCACCATCCTGGGTGGGGTTAGGTTGTAAGCCCAGCATAACCATTATTTTAACGTACATCTGTTGCAAGTAAAAGTTTTCACATTTTGGGGTGAGAGAGATAAGCAGATATTCCAGTTTTGCTCGCAGAACTCAAGGAGAATCTTCATAGAGTAAGCAACCAATGTTGAAGATAAAAACCTTTAATTGGGCCTCCCGGTGGCGCAGTGGTTGAGCGCTGGGTTGCGAGGCTGCCCGCAGCCTCTGCGACACCGGTTCAATCCCTGGATGCTCCCCGGCCACTGGAGGAGGGTCCCGCATGGCACGCAGACCTCTCCTGCCGCCTGCTGCTCCCTTCAGCAGTGTACCTCCGTCCTTCTGCCTGCTCTGCTCCCTGCTCTGGCTCTGGTGAATTCTCTCACCCTCCCGCGCTTCTGACCCTACCCAGTGTTTGTATAAATAAATAAATAAAAAGCTTTTTTAAAAAAAAAAAAAAAAACCTTGAAGTTAAAAGTTAACTGTTTAACCCCAGAATCTTTTTTTTCCCCTCATATATATCCTAAATTTAGAAAAGCAAAAGTCTTTTTTTTTTTTTTTCAAGATTTATTTATGCATACAATAGCTGGGGTGTATGCCAGAGGTGCAGGGGGTGAGAAGATTCACCAGAGACAGCGTAGGGAGTAGAACAGGCAGACTGACTGAAATACACTGCTGAGGGGAGCAGTGGGCGAGACAGGAGAGGTCTGCTGCACCATGTGGGTCACCACTTTGGCCAGGGATCAAACTCATGCTGCAGTGGCTGCGGATGGCTTCATTGCAGACACTTAACCCTTGTACTACCACTAAGGAGGCAAAAGACTTACGATTTGTCTTCATTTAGATTTCTGCAGAGGGTTATTAGGAGTAAGTTCTTAGCCTCCCCTACTCTCTGTGGGCTATTCTTGTGGTGATGGTCCATTGTACTATATAATTCTGTTGCCTTTTTTGCATACATAGGTCAAGAGCACCACTGGATGCTTATTTTCAAGTGAGCAGGACCCAGCCTCGTTTGCCAACCATTTCTTATGATTCAGAGACTAGGGATCCTATGTTTGTAGACTTGCCTGAGTCAAGTGGTTCTGATTCTGACAGTGACAACTCCACAGAGTTTGAAGAGGGTATTGTCCAAGCAGAGGAACCTAGAGCTGTCACTTCAGAAGGTGAGTATTTTACTAAGTTTGGATTTGCAAGGCTAACATCCTTGTGAAACCTTATCTTAAACTCCAGAAGGCTAGAAACTGTGTGCTCAACCTCCTGCACCACCAGGGATGCCCCCATCTCACTCTTTTAATGATATCTTTTTTTTTTTAATGATATCTTTTGATGAACATAAGTTCTAAATTAAAATTCATCTGTTTTGGGCCTCTCTGGTGGCACAGGGGGTTAAGTGTCAGCACTGTGAGGCTGTCTGCAGCCATGTAGCACGAGTTCTGACCCACATGGCGCAGCAGGCCCCTTAGTACTTTCTTCTGTCTCCCCACCCCCACCCCCATTGTCAAAGATTCCACAGGACAAATGATCAGATTTCTCTAACAAATCAATGACAAAACATGAATTTTTTTTTTTTCACAATTTATTTATTTATACATACAAGAGCTAGGGCACAGGCCAGAGACACGGGAGAGGGGTGAGAGGATTCACCAGAGACAGAGTGAGGAGCAGAACAGGTGGATTGACTGAAATACCCTGTTAAGGGGGTAAACAGGAGAGGTCTGCTGCTCCATGTGGGTCAGCCCTCTGGCCGGGGATCGAACTCGTGCTGCATGGCTGCAGACAGCCTCACAGGGCTGATACTTAACCACCTGTGCTACCAGGGAGGCCCAAAACAGATGAATTTTAATTTAGAACTTATGCTCATCAAAAGATATCATTAAAAGAGTGAGATGGGGGCCTTCCTGGGTGACGCAGGCGGTTGAGCACAGCGCTGTGAAGCTGTCCGCAGCCTCTGCAGTGCAGGTTCGATCCTGGCCAGCCGGGAAGATACCCACATGGCGTGGCAGACTGTCTCGCCCGCTGCTCCCCTCAGCAGTGTATTTCAGTCAATCTGCCTGTTCTGTTCCCCGTTCTGTCTCTGGTGAATCCTCTCACCCTTCCGCACATCTGGCCTGTACCCCAGCTCTTGTATAAATAAATACAATCTTTAAAAAAAAAAAAGTGTGAGATGGTAATCCATCGTTGAGGGAAGACATTTATAATACATTTTAAATATACATATATTTAAGATTTATAACTCCTGCAACCTGATAGAAAAAGTCATAAGATTGAAAATGAACTTCCAAAAGAGGGTAGCCAACTGACAATACTTAAAAAGATTTCATTAGTCACAAGGGATAATACAAATTAAAACCATAGTGTGGTAACCAATGAACAGCCATCCTGACAGCTAGAATTGAAGTATTGAAAAGAATATAAAACAGCCAGACCTCTTGTACACTGATGGTCAAAGTATAAATTGGTCCAAGCACTTTTGCAGTATCTATACAAACTCACTTTATGTGTGATTTAGGTGTATAACTAAGAAATGAATGTATATTTTTCAACATGTGTGAGAATGTAATGGCCTATTTGTAATAACAAAAACATCCCCAATCTATGTAAATACCCATCAACAGTAGAATGAGAAAGTAATTGTTTTATATTTATGTATAATTATACAAAGCAGGGAAAATGAATGAACTGCCCCACAAATAAGTATGGATGACTCTGGGGTACCATTTATATGCAAAAGCAGGCAAATTCAATTTACAATGTTAGAATTTAATATAAATTCTAACCTGGTTACCTTTGGTGGGAACAAGGTCACCTCCCTGCCCACCCAAGATATAAGGAGGATATAAGATGATTATAAAGGGTATTCTTGTTGACATTTTGGTTTATAGATGTGTTTATAAAAATTCACTGAACACTTCTGTATGTATATTACACTTCAGTAGAAGTTGCTTTTTGTTGTTTTTAAGAGCCAATTTGAAGGTTTCCCACTGTCTGTGATGGAACAGTTTGAATCTCAAGAAATGACTAAAAATTAAAAATCATGTGAGAGCTTGATGAAGAACCTGATAATCTGGGGGTTGTCCTCACAACACCTGAACCCATTGTGATCCTCCTGGTGTGTTACAGTTAGAAACACTAAGAAGTATTCTCTTTCTTCCCAAAAGAGAACTGAATCTACTGAAGCCGCTAGATCTAACTACCAGTTTATAGGAAATATGTGATAGAGCAGTGAGTAAACAATAGCATAGGAAAGCAATTTACAAATCTAGGGTATGGGATTTATCTTAACACAAATGACCATAATCCCCTAACACATCAGGACATTAGTGACAAAGAAGAGATAAAAATGATTGATTGAGAATTGTTAGAAAATGAAAAAAGACTTAAGAGACATAATCAGGGCCTTCCTGGTGGCATGGAAGTTAAAAACAGTGCTATCAAACTGTCGCCAGCCACTGCAGCACAAGTTTGATCCCCAGCTGGCCAGGGAGCTATCCACATGGCGCAGCAGACCTCTCTCCTGACTCACCCACTGCTCCCCTCAGCAGTGTGTTTCAGTCAGTCTGCCTGTTCTGTTTCCACTCTGTCTCTGGTGAGTCCTCTCACCCCCCACAACTCTGGCTTACACCCCAGTTCTTGTATGCATAAATAACTAAATCTTTAAAAAAAATAAAAGACATAGATTCATAGTGGAGACCTTGTCTGAAACCTGGTTAGAATAAATCTATTCTTTTTTTTTTTTTTTTTTTTTTTTAAAGATTTATTTTTATTTATTTATACATGCACTGGGTACAGTCAGAAGCGCGGGAGGGTGAGAGAACTCACCAGAGCCAGAGCGGGGAGCAGAGCAGGCAGAAGGACCAAAGTACACTGCTGAGGGGAGCAGCGGGCGGCAGGAGAGGTCTGCACGCCATGTGGGACCCTCCTCCAGTGGCCGGGGAGCAGCCGGGGATCGAACCGATGCTGTAGAGGCTGCGGGCAGCTTCGCAACCCAGCGCTCAACCGCTGCGCCACCGGGGAGGCCCAGAATAAATCTATTCTTAAAGAATTTAAAATAATAGATTTTGAATAATGTGAACTGGGTGTCTAGTATTAGCTAGTTTTTGTTGTTTTTTTTTTAAAGATTTATTTATTTATGCATACAAGAGCTGGGGTACAGGCCAGAGATGTGGGGGGTGATTCACCAGAGACAGAGTGGGGAACAGAATAGGTGGACTAAGTGAAATATACTGCTGAGGGGAGCAGCGGGCGAGACAAGAAAGGGCTGCTGCACCATGTGGGTTGCTCCTTGGCCAGCCGGGGATGGAACTCGTGCTGCAGAGGCTTCAGATTGTTTAATAGTGCAGTGCTTAACCCCTTGCACCACCAGGGAGACCCTGATATTAGCTAGTTTTATTTATTTTATTTTTTTTTTAACTTTTTTTTTTTTTTTTTACTTTTTTTTTTTTTTAAGATTTATTTTTATTTATACAAGCACTGGGTACAGTCAGAAGCGCGGGAGGGTGAGAGAATTCGCCAGAGCCAGAGCGGAGAAGAGAACAGGCAGAGCGACTAAGTACATTGCTGAGGGGAACAGCGGGCGGCAGGAGAGGTCTGCGCGCCATGTGGATCCCTACTCCAGTGGCCGGGGAGCAGCCAGGGATCGAACCTGTGCTGCAGAGGCCACGAGCAGCTTTGCAACCCAGTGCTCAACTGCTGCGCCACCGGGGAGGCCCTATATTAGCTAGTTTTAAAAGAAGTATTATTAGGTACAGTAATGATACAGATTCTATATTTTTTTCATTTTTTTTAATTATTGAGCTAACTGGCTTATAGCAATACATGTGATTCTTGATTATATCTTTCAAGTTTGTTAGTGTTATGAAAGTTTTTACACATGACAAGCTATTTTAAGGTTTGTTATTAAGTATTCCAAAAGAAAATAATGGGAATAGGGGCTTAGGTGGAACAAAATTGGCAAAATATTATTTTTTTTAATTAGGTGATGGCTACTTGTGGGTTAATTTGTTTACTTTCATTTATGTATGTTTGAAAATATCCAAAATATGTTAATAAAATGTTTGCTGATGCTTCTTGGGGAAATTGTCATAGCAACACTACCAGTTAGAAATGGAAAGTTGTATGAATCAATGCTCTCTGCTGCTAGCCTCTCATAGGTGACTTATGTGTTCTTTTGTTTATTACCTATCATTTCTGGAAACAACTTGGCAGAGCAAGTAGGAAGTATCTCAACAGAGCAAGAAACTGCATGTGGCAGTGCAGGAGAGACTGTCCCCCAACAGGTAATTCCTGAATATCCTTTTCAGTGTGAAAGACTTGGATTGTCATTTTAGCTGCAGTCACAAGGGAAATTTTGTAGGATTTGTAGGCAGGAGGTTCAGATGTGATGCTCTCCAAGTTACTCTTTTGTGTGACTGTTGCCACTTAGGTTTAAAAATGGTGGGAAGAGGTGGAAGGATAACTTGCCCTGCCTATTTGTAAGATTATGTATTAGCTAAAATAATAGATATTAGATATGAGTGTACTTTATGAACTGTTAGGCCAAGTATGATTGCTGTGTGAAAAACAATTTTCATTTTCAAAAATGACATCTACTCATCGTTGCCCTGAGAAATGAGTTATTTATATCAACTGTGGACTCTACCAATCCTAAAACGTCATTGATCTACTTTTTGCTTCTGTATGGCTTCCATGTTTTCCCTTTTTAAAAAAAAATATTTATTTATACAAGAACTGGGGTATAGGCCAGAGGTGTGGGACGGTGAGAGGATTCACCAGAGACAGAGCAGGGCGCATAACAGGCAGATGGACTGAAAACACTGCTGAGGGGAGCAGCGAGACAGGAGAGGTCTGCTTCACCATGTGGGTAGCTCCCTGGCCGCCAGGAATCGAACCTGCGCTGCAGAGGCTGCAGACAGCTTTACTGCACTGCGCTCAACCTGCTGTGCCACTGGGGAGGCTCCCCCCCTTTTTTTAAAGATTTATTTATTGATACAACCACTGGGTACAGTCAGAAGTGCAGAAGGGTGAGAGAATTCACCAGAGCAGGGAGCAGAACAGGCAGAAGAACCGAAGTACACTGCTGAAGGGAGCAGCGGGTGGCAGGAGAGGTCTGCGCACCATGTGGGACCCTTCTCCGGTGGCCAGGGAGCAGCCAGGGATCGAACCTGCGCCGTAGAGGCTGCGGGCAGCCTCGCAACCCAGCGCTCAACCGCTGTGCCACCGGGGAGGGCCCCCCCCCTTTTTTTTTTAATTTATTTTTGCAAAGAAAAACCGCAATGTAGGCCAGAGATACTGTATAGTTGTAGGAGTGAAAGGATTTACCAGAGAGAGAGTGGGGAGCAGAACAGGCATATTTACTAAAATACACTGATATGGGAAGTATTGGGCGAGACAGGAGTGGTCTGTTGTGCTATATGTGGGTTAGTTCCCTGGCCAGGGATCAAATTCAGGCTGTACCGGTAATAGCACTGAGACAACTCCTAGCCCACTATTCCCTGGGCTTGTTTTTTTTATATTTTGTGCCTTTTCTTCATTTGAATGAAGAAAAATATACCCAAGAATTTCATAAGATCAAAAAGTAGTATTTTCATGACTTCTACTTTATTTTACCAGATTACATTCTAGAAAAAAATAACAAGTGGTTAATAGATGTTACCATTTTTCTATAGTGTTTTCAATTCAGTTTTGGATCATTTTTGTGCAGTTTGGTGAATTTGGTGGAGTTGTACATCCTCTTCAAGATTGATTTTGCATTTTTTCTCATTTGAATGTATTCTGTTTTCCATTTAGCAGTCGCCCCAGATGTCTAATCCTCTTCTGACTTCTGCTTCTATGGATGAGGATGAAGGGGACACTTGCACAATATGTCTAGAACAATGGACCAATGCTGGGGACCACCGGCTTTCAGCACTACGTTGTGGACACCTCTTTGGGTATAGGTGCATTTCTAAATGGCTCAAAGGACAGGCACGAAAATGCCCTCAGGTAAGTACTGTGTGTTTTGCACAGTTGGCATATTAAGTCAGGAAAATTCCCAGAACTATACTAATTATGTCTTTTTTTTTTTTTTTTTAATAAATTTTATTTTTATATTCCCCATACAATTGCAACCCCCTTATTTTGACCCCAATCCCTCCTACTAATTATGTCTTATTGAACTCTTTAGTGCAACAAGAAAGCAAAGCACAATGACATCGTTGTCCTTTATGCCCGAACCCTGAGAGCGTTGGACACTAGTGAGCATGAGCGCATGAAAAGGTAGGTGGGGTAGGCAGCAAGAGTGCCTCGCTGGAACGTTCCCTTTTGTTTCCTTCTATGCACATCTGTAAAAGGTGGTGTGAGTCATTCTTAGTGTGGTTCTGAGACTTGGGTTTTATGTGGGGCTTATTGGCGATCTCTCTCACATTCTGATTTGTTGTATATGTCTGATCATCTTCTGATGGTGGTCAGTTTGGTTTGCTCTCCTTGTACCCTTAAAAATGAGGATCTGGAATATAAATAATTGTGACTTCTGCTGATTCAATGAATGTAGGCCCCCCAGACTTTTGCTGAAATACTTAAGAATAAAATGTAGTCCCAGACTTCTCAGCCATAGAAGGAAAAGCCTATGTGAAAATAGTCAGTGCATACGATAGCAGGGCCTAGAAGTGGAGGAAAACAGGTTCCTGATACTCGCGTCAGACTCCAGTGGATTTTTGTTACACATGTCAATACATTGATTTTCAATTTTGGTTTCAATTTTAGTTAAGTGTATTCTATCCCTGTTATCTAAGGAATGCTAACCTGTGTAGCACCATCTGAAATATCCATCCCTGGAAGACATATATAGATCACAAAAATCTTCCATGAAAGAGGAGTGAAACACACTATACTAAGACAACTTGTTACTGTGTGCTCAGTAACACAGTGCGCCACACTGTGAAGCTGACCACAGCCTCAGAATCGCACATGGTGAGGCAGACCTCCGGTCTCACCTGCTGCTCCCCTCAGCAGTATATTTCGTCAGTCTGCCTGTTCTGTTCCCTGCTCTGTCTCTGATGAATCCTCTCACCCTCCTGCACATCTGACCTGTACCCCGGTTCTTGTATAGAAATAAATAAATCTTTTTTTAAATAATAAAAAAATAAACATTTATTAAAAGATAATAATTACATTGTATATATGTGCCACATCTTCTTTATCCTGTGACTTACTTTTTTGCTTAATATTTCTAGGCAATCCTAGTTGACACATACAGCACTAGCTTATTTATTTCAATTTCTCTATAATATTCTAGTCCTCTAACTTGAGCTATTTTGTCTTGTATGTATGTATGTACATATCTATTCTATATTTTGTATTGGTGAACGGTTAAGGTGGTTTCCAGTTTTTTTGTTTGTTTGTTTTTAATATAAAGCACTCTGCACAGAGCTAGGTGAGAATTTCTTCAGGTATAGAAATAGAATTACTTTATTGGAGGGTATATGTAATTTCAGGTTTACTAAATGCAGTCAAATTGTTCTTCCAAGAGGCTTTTCCAATTAATAGTCCCACCAATATCAGTGGAAGAGATTTCTTTTTCCATGCTTTTGCCCACTTTATATTACCAGACTAATCGGGGTGAAGTAGTATTTATCTGAAATTTAGTTTTATGTGTAATTATTTAAAAGTATGTTCTTTCTGTATAAATTTCCACTGCTACCTGTATCCTAAATGAAGTTTCTACAGATGAATGGGCTGTTTTGTTCCAATATCTATTTACTAATTCTTGTTCTATTCTGAGTTCTAATTTATTGTAGCTTTAAAATACATACTCCTACATTATTCTTCAAAATTGGCTTTGCTGTTTTTGGCACTGTGCTCTTTCATATTAATTTTAAAATTACTTTGCTAAGTTCCAGGAAAAACTCTTTCAGATCTTGATAGAGATTGCATTAAATTTATTAATAGGGGCCTCCCCGGTGGCGCAGCGGTTGAGCGCTGGGTTGCTAGGCTGCCCACGGCCTCTGCGGCGCTAGTTCGATCCCCGGCTGCTCCCCGGCCACCGGAGGAGGGTCCCACATGGCACGCAGACCTCTCCTGCTGCCCGCTGCTCCTCTCAGCAGTGTACTTCGGTCCTTCTGCCTGCTCTGCTCCCTGCTCTGGCTCTGGTGAATTCTCTCACCCTCCTGCGCTTCTGACTGTGCCCAGTGCATGTATAAACAAAACAAACAAACAAATAAATAAATAAAACATGCCTCTATTAAAAAAAAAAAATGCTTCCCAAAAAAAAAATAAATAAATAGATTTATTATTAGATTTATTATTAAATTCATTTAATTTATTATTAGCACTTGAGAAATGCTAATCTGTCCAACCATGAACGTTCTGTAATCTCCTTCCACTTACTTTTATATTGTGTCATTTACAGTGTATTTTGCTTAATAAAGTCTTATATGCTCTTTAACTTTCTTAGGTTGCTGTTTTAAGGTTTGTTCCTGTGAGTGAATTTTTTTCTGTTACATTTACTAATCAGTTATCTGGTATATATGGGGTGCTAGTGACTTAGTTTTCTTAGTCTTCATTCCAGCAGTCTTGCTGAACTCTTTAACAGTTTGTGGATTCTCTGAAGAACCCACTATAGTTTTGGTTTCCATGATAATAAAGCCAATTCCATCCCTTCCTTTCCAATTTTCACCTTTTTCTGTCCTATCTCATTAGAGTAGCAATCTATCTTTGAATTTCATATTTTGAAACTGTCTTTAAGTACATACAGATTTGTGAGTTTTATTCTCTTTTTTTTTTAATTTTTTTAAAGATTTATTTATTTGTGCAAGAACTGGGGTACAGGCCAGAGGTGTGGGGGTGAGAGGATTCACCAGAGACAGAGAGAGGAACAGAACAGGCAGATCGACTGAAATACACTGCTGAGGGAAGCAGCGGGCAAGACAGGAGAGGTCTCCTGCACCATGTGGGTCAGCTCCCTGTCTGGCCAGGGATCGAGCTCATGCTGCAGAGGCTGCGGATTGCTTCATAGTGTGGTGCTTAACCCCTTGCGCCATCAGGGAGGCCCGTGAGTTTTATTCTTGATGAGCATGTGCCTTCTTTTTTCAATTTTTTTTTTAAGATTTATTTATTCAAGCACTGGGGCGAGGGAGAGCGAGAGAATTCACCGGAGACAGAGCAGGGAGCAGAACAGGCAGAAGGACTGAAACACTGCTGAGGGGAGCAGCGGACAAGGCAGGAGAGGTCTGCCTCGCCATGTGGGAATCTCCCTGGCCGGCCAGGAATCGAACCGGCGCTGTAGAGTCTGCGGACAGCTCCACAGCACTGTGCTCAACCCGCTGAGCCACCAGGGAGGCCCCGAGCGTGTGCTTTCCTTATGCATTGTTTCTCTTTATTGCCTATTCATATTTTTTAATTTTAATTGGTATTTGTTAGCCATTGCTTGAATGTATGCTGTCTGTTAATAACTTCAGCTTTGGGCGGGGTGTATTATTTGACTATCTGGTGAACAACCAATATTGTTTTCTTTGTTTTTGTGGTTGGGGGGGTGGTTTGGTGTTTTTTGTTGTTTTTTAATGATTTGGCCCTAGCTTAAGTAGTACGCTTGGCTCTGTTTTTTTTTTTTTAAGATTTATTTTTATTTATTTATTTTTACAAACACTGGGTACAGTCAGAAGCGCGGGAGGGTGAGAGAATTCGCCAGAGTGGGGAGCAGAGCAGGCAGAAGGACCGAAGTACACTGCTGAGGGGAGCAGCGGGCGGCAGGAGAGGTCTGCGCGCCATGTGGGTCCCTCCTCTGGTGGACAGGGAGCAGCCGGGGATCAAACCGGTGTTGCAGAGGCTGCGGGCTGCTTCGCAACCCAGCGCTCAACCACTGCGCCACCGGGGAGGCCCTTGGCTCCGTTTCTTCATTATACATTTTTAGTCCCTATCCCCTAGTAGGAGCCAGACTTCTGGTCATTAGGGCCTACTTTAACCCTGAAGCCCAGTAGGCTCAAGAATTCAGTCTTACATGTAACTTCCTTAGTGATTTTACACTTTTTTTCTTGTTATACTTTATCCTTTTATGACACATGTTCATAGTAAAATGTGTGTATCATAACATAAACTTACTATGCGGTCTTGATGTGGGAAGTCTTCTATAACCTTCCTAAGCTCCACTTGCTGACTTTCCTCCTAGTTCATTACTGAAGGAGCAGATGCTAAGAAAGAAAGCCGAATTAGAATCAGCACAGTGCCGGCTCCAACTTCAAGTCCTCACTGATGAATGCACTAAGCTTCAAAGTCGTGTCCAGGTAAGTTTATCCTTTCTATTCCAGACAACTTTTGGAATAGAAATTGGAAAGGATTCCAAGTATTACTTAGGTTCATCTCAGATACGAATAGGATTTACCAAGTTTCCCAGGAATTAAACATGACCACCTGTTTATTTCTGATTAGGGCATTTTCCCAAAACTTACGCAGTTTATGATATTATACAGTAGTATGAACTTTTTTTTTTTTTAAGATTTTATTTATTTATACAAGCACTGGGTACAGTCAGAAGCACGGGAGGGTCAGAGGATTCACCAGAGTCAGAGCGGGGAGCAGAGCAGGCAGAAGGACAAAGTACACTGCTGAGGGGAGCAGCGGGCGCGGCAGGAGAGGTGTGTTGAGCCATGTGGGACCCTCGTCAGCAGCTGGGATCGAACCGGCGCTGCAGAGGCTGTGGGCAGCTTCGCAGCCCAGCGCTCAACCACTGTACCACCGGGAAGGCCCTAGTATGAACTTATTAAAAATTAAACACCTGATAATTCAAAAGTCTAAGTCATTTCAGCTCTCTGTATCAATAAAGTGAAGGTTTAAAAAATAAATAAGGTCTTCCCTGGCAGTGCAAAGGATTAAGACACAGCACTCTGAAGCTATCTGCAGCCACTGCAGCACGAGTTTGATGCTCAGCCAGGGAGCTAACCCACATGGCACAGCAGACCTCTCCTGTCTCACCTGCTGCTCCCCTCAGCAGTGTACTTCAGTCAATCTGCCTGTTCTGTTCCCCACTCTCTCTCTGAATTGTCTCACTGCCCACACCTCTGGCCTATACCCCAGTTCTTGTATGCATAAATAAATAAATCTTTAAAAAAATAAAAATAAAAAATAAAGTGAAGGTTTTAAACAAAACTACCATTAAAGACTCTCACCCCTAATATTTCATGATTCTGTTTTCTTTAAGTTGCTAATTGAAATACTGTGAAAACTGCAGCAGTTCTCTAGGATTCATGTTACATTTTCGTCTAATGTGCAAGAAATTTTGCCTTAAGGAGTTTTGCTAAGGGAAATAGCAAACGAAAAAGCTTCACCTCTATAAAATCTTTTTCATTGTAGGACTTGCGAAAACTTATTGTAGCACATCGAGATCAGATTTCACAGCAACTCGGGGGCTCCCAAGCAGGTTTCCTGAACTGCCTGCCCCCCAGCCAGAGCCAACGCAAGTACCATTTCCAGAAGACCTTCACAGTGTCTCAGACAGGAAACTGCCGAATCATGACATACTGTGATTCTCTGAGTTGCCTGGTGATGTCACAACCTTCTCCTCAGGCCTCCCTCCTTCCAGGTGAGCAGACTAGAACCTCAGCTTTCATTTTCACTATTGGACTCCATTTATTTCTCTCCCTCTTTGGAGAATCCATGACTCACTGGTGGGTGAACTCTGTCCAAAGTCCATGAAATCACCTTTTCTCGTTGGTGTCTCGTTAATGCACATACTTTAGAGAGCTGCCAAGATGTCATTAGTGCCTCTTGACTTGGTCCACAAATTCACCAAGAGGGCAGAAACACTGATAAACATAAGGTGAGAAGAGATGTTTGGGTGTGTCACGTACTGGTGTGGTCCAAGGAGAAGAAGGTTATTCCTTATATGTCCCATTAAAGTTCAGATTAATTTTTCAGACTGGAAATATTTGTAAAAACACTACCACATGGGTTGATTCAAGTTGAAACAAGAGCTAATAAGTTTCAGTAGTGCTTAATTGACAAAATTCAAGTAAAAGAATTTGGGTATATATTCATTTTGGGTTTTTTTTCAATTTATACTAATTTTCCCATATTTTAATGCTTTTTAAGCTTAACTTTAGATTATCTTTTTTTTTTTTTTTTTTTTTAATATTTTTTTTTTTTTTTTTTTTTTATAGAGGCATGCTTTATTTATTTGTTTGTTTGTTTTGTTTATACATGCACTGGGTACAGTCAGAAGCGCGGGAGGGTGAGAGAATTCACCAGAGCCAGAGCGGGGAGCAGAGCAGGCAGAAGGACCGAAGTACACTGCTGAGGGGAGCAGCGGGCGGCAGGAGAGGTCTGCACGCCATGTGGGACCCTCCTCCGGTGGCCGGGGAGCAGCCAGGGATCGAACCGGCGCCACAGAGGCCGCGGGCAGCTTCGCAACCCAGCGCTCAACCGCTGCGCCACCGGGGAGGCCCCCAACTTTAGATTATCTTAATGTTGTCACATGCCCAGTTAAGTCATTTCTCGGTGTTGTAGATATGTCTTTTTACTATCTTCAGTATATGATCTCTGCTGACTGTCAAGTTCCTTTGTTTCAGCCTGATTTTATTTCCTGTGTCTCTCCACTTAGATATTCTATTCAGATGTTTCACAGCTATATTTTTACAAACAGGTGCATATGGAATTGGGTGTGGAATCCCTCAATTGTAGTTTTCTATTCACTAATATTATCATTGAGTTGAGAGGCTATTAGGAGCCTCCAGTTGAGAGAAAGGTAAGAGAATTGTGTATGATATTTTCCTGTCTGCCTCATTGCAGAATAAGATTTGAAATTCATCCATATTATTGTATAAATTGGCAGTTTGTTCCTTTTTATTGCTGGGAGTATTCCATTGTATGTTTATACAGTGGTTTATTATTCACTTGTGTGTTTTTTTTTTAAGATTTTATTTATTTTTGCATAGAAGAACTGAGGTACAGGTCAGAGGTGTGGGGGGTGAGAGGATTCACCAGAGACAGAGTGGGGCGCAGAGCATGCAGATCTACTGAAATACACTGCTGAAGGGATAGCAGGTGAAACAGGAGAGGTCTGCTGCGCCATGTGGGTTACTCCCTATCCAGGGATCGAACTCGTGCTGCAGTGACTGGCGATAGCTTAATAATGCTGTGTATTTAACACCTGTGCCACCAAGGAGGCCCATCATTCACTTGTTGATGACATTTGGAGTGGAATATACTTTTAACATAAAACCCTGTAGAGTGGCCTCCTTGGTGGCCTAGGGGTTAAGTCTCAGCACTATCACTGCTACAGCCTCAGTTTGATATCCCGTCTTGGAGCTAACCCACATAATGGCGCAGCAGACCTCTCCTTTCTCATCTGCTGCTCCCCTTAGCAGTGTATTTCAATAGGTCCACTTGCTCTGCTCCCCATTCTGTCTCTGGTGAATCCTCTCACCACCCACACCTTTGGCCAACACCCCAGTTCTACACAAAAATAAAATCTTAAAAAAACTACAGAATTTTTATGTAGTTTCATCAACTTTTTCCCAAAGACATACATGCCAAGAAGTGTGAACAAAGGAGGTATTTGCAAAGGTAGCTTGCTTTGCCCTGAATTGACTTTCAGTGATCTGTTTCATTCTCTCTCTCATCTTTGGCAGGCTTTGGTGTTAAGATGTTGAGTACTGCCAACATGAAAAGTAGTCAGTACATTCCCATGCATAGCAAACAGATCCGAGGATTGGCTTTCAGCAGTCAGCCCAAAGGTTTACTGCTTTCTGCTTCCCTGGACAACACTGTTAAACTGACCAGGTGAGTGCTTTGGGGAGGAAGATGGGACCTGGGCTGTCAAGAGCATGGAAATCAGTATTTGTATTGTTATAGATTTAGCTGTCTTACTTTTGTTCTAAGGCATTGCCTTTTGAGATTGAGGTTCATGGAATTTAAAATGTATTTTTTTTAAGGCTGGCACAGCAAGTTATAAAACAGTGTGTAGTGTCCTGCTTTTTAAAAATTATATGTGTTACGAAATATAGCTGAAGTCATGTAGATAAGAGTAATATCAGAGATGGGAGAATGACAGTATTCGAGGGAGCCTTGGTATCTGACACTACAGAATCACCATGTGCTATCATGGCATTGCTTACTCCTTATTTCTATCATTCTGGCTTATACCCCAGTTCTTCTAAATAAAAATAAAATCCTAAAAACGCTTCAGTTGGGCCTCCCCTGGTGGCGCAGGCAGTTGAGCGCTGCGCTGTGAAGTCCTGTTCGCAGCCTCTGCAGTGCGTGTTTAATCCTGGCCGGCCAGCGAGAATCCCACATGGTACGGCAGACCTCTCCAGTTTCGCCGCTGCTCCCCTCAGCAGTATATTTCGTCAGTCTGCCTGTTCTGTTCCCCGATCTATCTCTGGTGAATCCTCTCACCCTCCCATGTATCTGGCCTGTACCCCGGTTCTTGTATAAATAAATCTTAAAAAAATAAATAAAAAGTAGTTCTGGGGCCTCCCTGTTTGCTCAAGGGTTAAGGTGCAGCCTATAAAGCTTTCCACAGCTACTGCAGCACGAGTTTGATTCCCAGCCAGCCTGGGAGCAGCCCACATGGCGCAGCAGACTTCTCCTGACTCGCCTGCTGCTCCCCTAGGCAGTGTACTTCCATCAGTCTGCCTGTTCTGTTCCCCACTCTGTCTCTGGTAATTCCTCTCACCCCCTGCACCTCTGGCCTGTACCCCAGCTCTTGTATGCATAAATAAATAAATCTTTTATTTTTCTTTTTTAGAGGCATGTTTTTTTTTTATTTTATTTTTATTTATTTATTTGTTTGTTTGTTTTGTTTATACATGCACTGGGTACAGTCAGAAGCGCGGGAGGGTGAGAGAATTCACCAGAGCGGGGAGCAGAGCAGGCAGAAGGACCGAAGTACACTGCTGAGGGGAGCAGCGGGCGGCAGGAGAGGTCTGCACGCCATGTGGGACCCTCCTCCGGTGGCCGGGAGCAGCCGGGGATCGAACCGGCGCCGCAGAGGCCGCAGGCAGCTTCGCAACCCAGCGCTCAACCGCTGTGCCACCGGGAAGGCCCAATAAATAAATCTTTTAAAACAAAAAATGTTCTGATCAGATAGCTAATGGTTGGATTCTTGTTTAATTTCTCTGGTAAAACCTGAGTGACAGTGCTCTGAGGCCTTTTGACTTTTTAAGAATGTTTCAGCTTAATTTTATCTCCAAAGTCAATGTACCATTATGCCTGTATATGCACTGGGTTTTTCCTAATGGTATTAAACAATAGGGGGTATTGATTACTTGTGTAATAGGTAACTGGGGAATTTTTTTTTAACATTTATTTATTTATGCATACAAGAACTGGGGTGCAGACCAGAAGTGCGGGGGGTGAGCGGGTTCACCAGAGACAGAGTGGGGTGCAAAACAGGGGAATCTACTGAAATACACTGTTGAGAGGAGCAGTGGTCGAGACAGGAAAGGTCTGCCGGGTCATGTGGGTTGCTCCTGGCCGGCAGGGGATCAAACTCGTGCTGCAGTGACTGGTGATAGCTTGACAGCGCTGTCTCTAACCCCTGCGCTGCCAGGGAAGCCTTGGGGAATGTTTTAAGGAAGCGTGGGCAATGTGCTATTAATATCCCTTTGACTTAATATTTTACTTGCTTAGAGCTTATAAGGAAAACATTTGTCCCCCCCCCCCACAACAAATGTGAAAGGAGTTATCTAGAGAAAATGGGGGATCTGACTAGTTTGGGTGTATGGGTATATTCTTAAAAGGTTATCACTGAAATAATATTTACATCCTTTGATATGCATGATTTTCCTTTTTTTTTCCTTCCAAGAGAATAAATCCACTTCTATTAAATTTAAGTTTTTGAGGGTACAGCATCACACAAATTCGCTGTCTTATTGCCTTAATAGGAAGGTTGCTTTGGAATTTGGCACAGACCACACCACTCTTTGCCAGGATCATGCATTACCTTTCCCCAGATTACTCTAGTTTGTTCTTTGCTTTGTATGCACATACACATCTCTTGCCTAGGTAGAATTCAGTTTCATGTTGAGCATAAACACCTTCAACTTTAAGAAGAGGTGTCAAGAGATACCACTTGTAGCCAGCAAAAGGGCCTTGGACCACTGCCTTCTGGTCATATTTTATAAATCCTGCTTCTACCAGACCTCCATAGGCTCTAAGATGGCCAAAAGTGTGATAATGCCTAATTAAAGAAGTCTTTTGTGTTTCCACAGCCTGGAGACAAATACTGTGGTTCAGACTTACAATGCTGGCCGTCCGGTCTGGAGCTGCTGCTGGTGTCTTGATGAAGACAATTACATATATGCTGGCCTGGTCAACGGTTCAGTTCTTGTATATGACCTTCGAAACACAAGCTCTCCTGTCCAGGAGCTAGTACCTCAGAAAACTAGGTAGGAAGCCACTCACTTCCTGTAGGTAGCTGTGTTCTATTATACAGTTATTGTATTAATGCTCTTTATAGAGAGTTTCACTCTAGTCAAAAATCCTCACATAGGGCAGTTCTTTGGGGCTACTAATACATTCTTACTTCATAATCAGATATTGCACATGATCATATGCTCTGGTGCCAAATATAACTAGATTCATAGTCACTCAGCATCCAGCATGAAAAATAAAGTCTGTGTTCAGAGCCCTACTCGATTCTGTAATAGCTGTGTAACTTTGGTTATGTTTCCTGGCCTGCTGTGAGCTTCATCTATAAAGTGTGGTTACTATAACTTGCTTTCATAACCTCTTGTCTGACACACAGCTCAATAAGAGGTAGGCCTATAAAAATACAAAATGAATTAAATCTTCCCTAGTCCAATGCTAAACCATTTTGGTCTAAGGGATGCCATATTATGATTTATAATCCAGTTACAGGGTTGGGAGGTTTGTGAGGTCAGTTCTGAGTGGCTTTTCAGAATGTTTTGAGTGTCAATCAGGCATAATATGTGGCAGGAGGCCAAAAGTCCTCAAAAGGAAAATTTTCTGTAACCAAGACCAAAATGAGAACTGTCTTAAGAGAGAATTTCCTTTTCTAATCTGATTGTATGTTAAAAGTGGGATGGTGAGTCTAAAATAAAGATAGCATTACAATAATGATTATTTATTTATTGAAATCTAGGCTCAACACTTGGAGGTTTTCTTTTCATTTGGGTAGGGTGGAATTATGCTTCAGTCATGTGGTCTGTGGGACTAAAGAGGACCTCTGTATACTTAAACAGATGTGAATTCTGACAAACAGGGTGACTGAGACAAGTTTATATGTCTATAAGTGTATAAGCTAATATTTCTGAAAGAATTCTTGGCATAAAATCCTAATCATGTGCTTGCAGAAAGATACTTAGAATATCTCCAAAGAAACAATCCTGTTTCTGAACAAGCATATAAGCTATAATTTAGTTCAGGAATTTGTCCAGTATGGTTTAGAAGCTTCATTATAGTAACATAAGCTGTAGTTTCTTGCTGGCTTTTCATGTCTATATGATTAATACCATTTATAGAAGTCAGGCTTGCTTTTCATTGTGATCTTGTAGCCATTAAATTTCCTACTCCATTTTTTCCTATTGCTTTTAGAGCATGTGTCTCATCTGAAATTGCATGCAGAATATTATATGAATGTTTCTACAGAGTCAAGGGATAGTGATCCATAGAAGATTTCTAACCTCTTCTATCAATACAGGGATGTTCTCAAAGGCTCCTGGGGTCTGGGTGCTAGTGGACTCTGAAACAGTCCAAGTATTGGGATGTGAGGTCTGGTTTCCTTCCTTTCCCTTCAGATGCCCTCTGGTATCCCTGTCCTACATACCTAGAGCTGCCTCGGCTGCGTTTCCATATGGAGGGGTGTTGGCCGGAACCTTGGAGAATGCTTCCTTTTGGGAACAGAAAACGGGCTTTTCTCATTGGCCTCATGTACTGCCTTTGGAATCAGGGGGTTTTATAGACTTTCAGACAGAAAACAGTACCCGGCACTTTCTTGTGACTTATAGGCCTGGTAAGTACCGGGATGTCTGCATGGGACCACCTGTGTTTTGTTTAGGAGCAGCTTTGTAGAGGGGAGGGAGGGATGCAGAGCTTGTCCTCCCCTTCAGTTGGCACTTGTAAGCTCCTCACTGGCTAACAGATTAGGTTACGGCTTTTGCTGCTACAGTTAGGATGGTAGCCCCAAGTTCATCCATCGAGCCTGCCTCCCTGCTTCTCACATGTGTGAACTGGGACAGATTCAAGTATTTGCTGCATGTGAATTGGCCACTTTAGGAACCCCCATGACTTAAAACAATAATGGAATTAGAATGCAGTTTTTTTAATAATATAAAAGTACATTTCTAGGGGCTAATGGGGTCCTTGTTAGGGGAAGGAAAAAAAAAAAACTTGAGTCCGAACTATTAGGGAAGCTAAGAACCCAAGCAGAATTGTGCAGAACCTTTTGCTAAAATGGATAGTTCATTCTTAGAATTGTTTCTCTCATAAGCAAAAACTTACTGTAGGTAATTTGCTTCATCCTAACCTCGGATTCTGAATTTCATTTGTGCTGTATTGTTATGTTTTCTTTGTAGCTATTCTTGTTGGTACAGTAAATTGTGGCTTTTCTCCTTGGCAGTGAGTATCTGAAATATGGGTACTTGGTTGATTTCTTTGGGCTTGCTAATGGAGCAACACTGTTTTCTCTGACCTGTAGACAAAAATCACAATAACTTAAGAAGTGTCCTAATGGAAATGTACTATAAACTGGATGATGCTGGAGAGCCAATCTGTACCTGCCATCCTGTTCAAACATTCCTAGGGGGACCCACTTGCAAATTACTGACCAAAAGTGCCATTTTCCAAAGTCCAGAGAATGATGGAAGTATCCTGGTGTGCCATGGGGATGAAGCATCAAATTCTGCCCTGGTGAGCCTATAATTTTTTTATGCAAAAGTGTGTAAAGAAAAGATAAAAAAAAAAAGCTATGTAAAGACGGGAGGGGGGAAAAAGAAAGAAACAGAATAAAGCAAAAGCCAAAGTTCCCCTGATCTGTAATCACACATATCTATGTATGTGTGTACATGCAGTTGTTTGGTTAATTTTATACATGTGAGTTACTTTCCATATTGTTATGTAATTTAGTTTTTCCTTGTGCTGCTTTTAACTTCTTGTCTTAGGTTTTTTCCATTTCAATATCTGTAAATTCACCTCATTCTTTTAAAGTGAATTATAATGTCCCTTGGGCCATATTGTGAATGTTTAAAAATAAAACAAAACATAGCAACCCCTATAAAGTAATTGAATCAAGCATCAGCTTCATCAGTTCAGGATGAAACAGAGTTGAAAGTTGATAGAGAATTTGTCTGTGGAGGGATCAGCTTATCACCTGAACAACTTGATCAACCTTAGCATCACTGTGAGTGGGTTAATCAAAAGTAAATTACCTCGTAATGTAGTGGTGTGGACATGCAGTGCCTTCATTGAGAAGCCCTTAAACACGAAGCTAGTGAGCCGTCTTAGAGCAGTGCCTCCAAAACAGCCATGCCAGCTACATAAGCACTTAAATGTGATTATTATGATTGAAGAACTTAATTATTTTATTTTTAATTGAAATATAAATGGTCTTATGTGGCTAGTGGCCACTATATTGGATTACATCACTCTATATTAGATAACACCACTCTAGTTCGGTGCTGACTTTCATTTATTAGAATTGCAGGGAATAAAGGAGCATGTTAAAAGCACAAAAAGTAAAAAAAATAGATTTCAGTTGTAGACATTCTATAGGACAAATCATCCAGCTTCTATAAAGCACTGACAGAGTAAACAATGGAGAGGTTGGATCTGTTCTCGATTAAAACTTACTAGTTTATAATCTCCATACGTAATGTGGACTTTACTTGAATACGGATTCAAACAGACCAAAGGTAAAAAGTGACTATCAGAAAAAAAAAATTTTTTTTAAGATTTATTTTATTTATTTATGTGTACAAGAGCTGGGGTATAGGCCAGAGGTGTGGGGGTGAGGGGTTGTGGTGTGAGGATTCACCAGAGACATAATGGGGAGCAGAATAGGCAGATTGAGTGAAATATACTGCTGAGGGGAGCAGTGGGTGAGACAGGGAGGTTTGCTGCACCGTGTGGTCAGCTCCCTGGCCAGGGATCAAACTTATGCTGCAGTGGCTGCCCAGAGCTACATAGTGATGAGACTTAACCTCTTGCACCACCAGGGAGGACCAACTATGAGAAAATTTTGATTATGCACTAGGTGTAAGATAATACTGTGAAATGATTTATTTTGTTGAATGTGATATAAAAGTTGTTAGAAAATGTCCCTTTTTTAGAGCTGCATACATTCTTAAGTATATAAAGGTAAAAAAAAAAAAAAACCTTAAGTCAGTGAGAAGAAATCAGAATTGATAAAACAGATGTGGTAAAAGCGTAATAATCTGAGTGGTGGATGGCACATTGTGCCTTTTTATATATATAACATAATTTCAGTGTTTATCTCATAGCAAAACCTCTTCTTGTATTTGTCCTCTTACTGTTGAACTTTTTATTGAAAGCCAAAACTACTCAGTATTCTCCTTGAAACTGTTTGCTTCTCATGGTAGAAATAGACCAGTGAAGTAAAGCTTCTAACATTTGCTTCTTTATATCTTAGAATGTGAACTTAATAAGATTGTTACATATATGTTAAGATGAGGTGATCCTGGAACATCTAATATGACTTATTCTAAAGCTATTGCTTTGCAGTGGGTTGGCAGTTTCTCCTTAAGATCTCAATAAGTTGTATTGCAGCCAATATAGGAAAGGAAGGGAGAGACATTTCCTGCTGATACTTTACCAGTAAGAATCCAGTTGCAGGCCTCCCTGGTGACGCAAGGGGTTAAATCTCAGCACTATGAAGCAATCCGCAGCCACTGCAGTACAAGTTCAATCCCTGGCCAGGGAGCTAACCCACATGGCGCAGCATGCTGCTCCTGTCTTGCCCACTGCTCCCCGCAGCAGTGTATTCCAGGAGATCTGCCTGTTCTGCTCCCCTCTATGTCTCTAGTTAATCCTCTTACCCACCCTTGCACCTCTCACCTGGACCCTAGCTCATGTATGCATAAATAAATAAATCTTTAAAAAAGGGGGTGGGGGGCTTCCCTGGTGGCATAAGGGGTTAAGCACAGCACTATGAAGCTATCCATAGCCTCTACAGCACGAGTTCAATCCCTGGCCAGGGAGCTACCCACATGGTACAGCAGACCTCTCTTGTCTCTCCTGCTGCTCCCCTCAGCAGTGTTTTTCACTCAGTCTGCGTGTTCTGCTCCCCACGCTGTCTCTGGTGAATCCTCTCACCCTGCACACCTCTGGCCTGCACCCCAGTTCTTGTATGCATAAATAAATAAATATTTTAAAAAAAAGAATCCAGTTGCTACTAAACTGACTAAAAATGAGGTATTTGCTGCCCTGCATTCCTTCTTGCAGGCTCTAAAGGAGAGTTGTTTTGTATTTTCAGCCTTTAGAAGATACCTGCGTTCCTTCTTGTTTCCCTATTATATTCAAAGCCAGCAATGACTGATGGAGTCTTTATTGTTCTTGTTATTCTACCTTTTTTTCCCATAATAAATATGTTTTGTTTGTTTTCATAAGTAAAGGAAAGCACCAGTTAGAATATAGTTTCCATGAGGACAGGGACAGAGGTTTTGTCTTACCTTTCTGTCCCTAGAAGAAACAATATCTAGAATAGTGTCTGGCACATAAATTGCAGGAGTACATGCTCGGCTTGGTATTCAGATCCCCTCATGGGTAAATTTTAATTGCTAATTCCAGTAGGTGAGGCCTTATCTGGACTCTGTTGGGTATGCTAGCTTTGCACAACTTTGTGAAAGTTAAGGACTCTACTCTGTTCCCAAGGCAATGTTCGCCCTGCAGCTTTTTCAAGTTTTTCCCATCTGAATTAGATGACTTCTGACCATTCTCTCTGCTTGTCTTCCTTAGCTGTGGGATGCTGGCAGTGGTTCATTGTTGCAAGATCTGCAGGCTGATCAGCCCGTCTTGGACATCTGCCCATTTGAAGCAAACCATTCCAACTACTTGGCTACCTTAACAGAGAAGACAGTCCACATCTATAGGTGGGAGTGACCATAGTCTTGAAACTTACCTGGCATGCCGCCACTTAACATTAAATGTTTGCTAGCATCCAGCTGGCCTGGCAAAGATCCCTGTTTATTATCTGTGGTCTAGAACTTTTGGGATCATGTTCCTTTGGGTTACTATGATTCTAGGACTCTGGGTCTCTGCAGGTTGCATTTTTGCTGTGGCCATCGAAAGAGTGACTGGTACTCCATGTACATTATCCATTTCTTGAGTTTTAAGTCTTCGTGCTTCTTCATTGAGAGTCTTTTCAATTAGACTTTCACTGGATCTCCAGAAATATCCTCTGAACAGGCATTTAGCATATGAGTATGCACCAAGCATGTTCAGGAGAATGTGACACTTCCACTGAGTGATCTTAGCACTTGGTCTGTTTGGCCTCAAGCCAATCATTCTCAAAATGATTATGTCTTAAAGGACTAAACCATCTTTTGGCTGCAACTTGAATACAAGAGTCCTCAGTTGAACACAAGAGGGCATTATAGAACCTTGTGTAGGCTTTGATCTATTTCTGATCTTGTGAGCACATCTGTTCTACTTTGTGGCAATGGTTATGATCCAGGTGTGCAGTTCTGGGATATTGGCAAGGCCGGTCATGGAAGCAGCTCATGAGCTTCAGACCCCCTTCCTTTTTTTGCATCCTTTTCTAATGCCAAGTGCATTAAGTTCATCACATTGTGGGAACCAAGGAGAGAGACCAGTTTTTTGAGCAGTTAGGGAGGCTCGTTTTTTTCTAGCCTTAGGCTCTCAAGATTGACTTATAAACCAGTGCTTAGAAGACTATTTCTTCCCCACCTCACTAAAAAAGATGAGCAGTAATACGTCAGAGCTCTTAACTTAGTTCTCTCCTCATACCAGATATCAGGTGTAAGGAGCTAACTGGGAGAGGCTTAAAAAAAAGAAACTGCTCAAACTGCTGCTGAAAATACGAGAAGAGCTTGTTTCTTCTATTTTAAGAGTTCTTACCTGAATAAAGCCAGCCTCTCAGAATGGGCCTGTTATTTAGCTTATAATTTCCTAGGTAAATCCTTCCTCACGTGAAACTGATGCTTAGTGCCTCTTATTTGCCTTCCTCCCTAACTTTTTCTGAAAGTGTCGTTGGTAAAATGCTTATATTCTCAGGAAGACAATAGTGGTTGGAAACCTGTGTGGATTACAGAGAGATATCCAACAACTTTAACCCTACATATTCCCACCTTATAGCTGCACTTTTCCCCAATAGAGCATTCAGTTTATGTCTGTTTGCTTTGCCTGAGGCAACTTTGCTGAACTGCTGTCCACAGCAGTACATGCCTCAAAGTGTAGGTAGTCAGTGCCCTGTTCTTGGGAGCAGGGTAGCTAAACTGTGATTTTCTTAAATAATTGTTGTAGGTGTTATTTTTATTTTGAAACAGTTCTAGCCTGTCAACTCCTGAGCTTTTGCCAGTATATCCAGTCAAGATTTATTATTGTTAGATTTTCCCAGAATCCCAAGTTCTAGTCAGACCTTTTAAAGAGTAGCTGCCTTTTTAAGGTCATCTTTCCTTAAAAAAAAAGTTTCCAGGAATTGAGAGAGATCCCCTATTTCTCAGAGGAGATAATTCCTTTTGATATGTTCATGTTTAAGAGTGACTGCCCAGGCAGAGAGCTTGATGGAAGAAAAGGATTTGAATTAAAAAGTAGAACTCATCTACTTTCACAGAGAGGATGCAGCTGGTCAGGCCCTGGCAGGGGCAAAACACAGAACAGGTTTAAGCTCTAACTAGCTTTGAAATATACTGAATTGATGTTGATTGAATCCCAGAAGCTTAGGAACCAAAGAGACTAACTATCAGGGAAATTGGGTGACTCATACATCTTGCCGATCCTTGAATTCCTCCAGTAAATTGAGATGTTTTAAAAAGAAATTCATGTAACTACAGCTTATTTCTCCCAAGGAAAAAACTTAGCCTCTAGCCATTCCCAACTTCCAGCCCTTCTGCCTGGCAGAAAACAACATCTGTAGACCCAGGCTCTGGTATCCTGTGGAACACCAGACTTTTCCCAGCCATGTTTTCTCACCCCCATGTCTAAGATTTTCCCATTTGAGACTTCGGAATTAAGCAGAGTCAAAAGATCTTGTAGTTGTATGTATCTGTGCACCTGCTTTGAAAACAGCAATGAAGTCTGTGTTCTAATGTGTGTGTGTTCTATTTTTAATGTTTGTATTTCATGTTAATACGAAAATAAAGCTTTTGCTGTGTGGTACATCTCCTGGTGTTTTGACTCCTTAACTGCCAGAGGCAGGAACATTGTATAATCTCAGCCTGGTAGATTTGTCCATTTCATGCAGTATTAATTGATGAACTGCATGGATTAGAAGAATTAACATTGTTACTGATATGATGGCCAGTTTAACCAAAACAATGTACAGATTCAATATAATCCCCATCAAAATTCTGATGGTAATCTTCAAGGAAATAGAACAAATGTTACTGAAATTTGTATGGCGCCACGAAAGACCCCAGTCAAAGTAATTCTATGAAAAAAGAATGACGGCATCACATTCTCCAATTTCTCACAACAGTATAAGGCAATAGTAGTTAACATAGTGTGACACTGGAATAAAAATAGATCAGTGGAACAGAATTGAGAGCACAGGGGCCTCCCTGGTGTCACAAGGGGTTGAGTCACAGCACTATGAAGCTATCTGTAGCCACTGCAGCACAACTTTGATCCCCGGCCGGCCAGGGAGCAACCCACATGGCACAGCAGACCTCTACTGACTCGCCCGCTGCCCCCCTCAGCAGTGTATTTTGTCAGTCTGCCTGTTCTGCTCCCCGCTCTGTCTCTGGCGAATCATCTCATACCCTGCACCTCTGGCCTACACCCCATTTCTTGTATGAGTAAATAAATAAATCTTTAAAAAAAATACAGATGGTACATTCTACAACATTGGCTATAGAAATGTCTTTGGAGACTAGACTTAGACATCAAAGGAAACAAAAAGCAAGAATAAATGGGAATACATCAAATTAAAAAACATGCACAGGGCCTCCCCGGTGGCGCAGTGGTTGAACGCTGGGTTGCAAAGCTGCCCGCAGCCTCTGCAGCGCCGGTTCGATCCCCGGCTGCTCCCCGGCCACCGAAGGAGGGTCCCACATGGCGCGCAGACCTCCCCTGCCGCTAGCCCGCTGCTCCCCTCAGCAGTGTACTTCGGTCCTTCTGCCTGCTCTGCTCCCTGCTCTGGCTTTGGTGAGTTCTCCCACCCTCCCACGCTTCTGACTGTACCCAGTGCTTGTATAAATAAATAAATAAATCTTTAAAAAAAAAAAAAACATGCACAGCAAAAGAACTAAAATGAAAAGATATCCTACTGAGCAGGAGAAAATATTTGCGTATCATACATCTGACAAGAGGTTAATATCAAGATATATGATGAACTCATACAGCTCAACAAAAAACCCCAATCAGAAGATCATAAATATTTCTCCAAAGGAAATGTATAGATAACAAAAAGGCACATGTCAAAATGCTCATCATTTTTATTAGGGAAATGGAGATCAAAACCACAATGAGAGATCCCCTCACACTTGTGAGAGTGGCCACCACAAAAAGATAAGAAACAAGTGTTGGCAAGGATGTGGAGAAAAAGGAATCCTTGAACACTTGTGGTGCACCCTCTATGGAAAAGAGTATGGAGGTTACTTGAAAAATAAAAACAATCTACCAGATGATCCAGCAATTCCACTTCTAGGTATCCAAAAAATATAAAAACACCAACTCAAAAGGATATATTCACTCCTGTGTTGGTTGCAGCACTAGCTACAATAACCAAAATTAGGAAACTTAAGTTGATGATGGGATAAAGATGGGTGCCTCCCTGGTGGTGCAGGCGGTTGAGCGCTGCACTGTGAAGCTGTCCACAGCCTCAGCAGCGCGGGTTTGATCCCGGCCAGCTGGCGAGAATCCCACATGGTGTGGCAGACCTCTCCTATCTCGCTCGCTGCTCTCTTCAGCAGTGTGTTTCATCAGTCTGCCTGTTCTGTTCCCTGCTCTGTCTCTGGTGAATCCTCTCACCCTCCCACAGATCTGGCCTGTACCCCAGCACTTCCATAAATAAAAAATAAATCTTTAAAAAAAAAAAAGATGTGGTATATAAACTAGGAGTATTAGTTAGCTATTAAAAACAAAAGATGTGATCTTGTCATTGTGCAACATGAAGGAACTTAAGGGGAATATGCTAATTGAAATAAATCAGAAGGGGCCTCCCTGGTGGCCTAGGGATTAAGTCTCAGCTCTATCACCCCTATGGCCTGAGTTTGATCCCCAGCCAGTGAGCTAACCCATATATGGTACAGCAGACCTCTCCTGTCTTCCTGGCTGTACCCCTTAACAGTATATTTCAGTATATCTACTTGTTCTGCTCTCCCCTCTGTCTCTGATGAATCCACTCACTCCCTGCACCTCTGGCCTACAACCCAGTTCTTGTATGCATAAATAAGTCTTAAAAAAATAAAATTGAGGGCCTCCCCGGTGGCGCAGCGGTTGAGCGCTGAGTTGCGAAGCTGCCCGCAGTCTCTGCAGTGCTGGTTCGATCCCCGGCTGCTCCCCGGCCACCGGAGGAGGTTCCCACATGGCGGGGCAGACCTCTCCTGCCGCCCGCTGCTCCCCTCAGCAGTGTACTTCGTCACTCTGCCTGCTCTGCTCCCTGCTGTGGCTCTGGTGAATTCTTTCACCCTCCCGAGCTTCTGACTGTACCCAGTGCTTGCATAAATAATTAATTAATTAATTAAATAAATAAATAAAAAGTAAAAACAAAATAAAAAAATAAAATTGAAACTGTACTTGGTGAACATCCACTCCCCATTCTTTCCTCCTTCCCACCAGTGACCACTACCAGTCTACCTTCTGTCTGAATTTGACTGCTCTAGGTACCTCTTGTCAGTCAAATCATAATGTATTTGTCTTTACGCTATTGGTGTATTTTTACTTAGTCACCCCATTTACTGTCACTACCAATGACCTGGGTGATTTTGTGCTCCCCCTTACAGCCACTCTTGGCTCCATGTGATTGGAGATCCTGGCTTCCTCTAGGGGTATAATTTGCCAAGAAGATATAAGAAGGGTCCCATTGAACTACAAGTTATGACTGCTACCCAGACATTTTTGGACCTTGTACCCAGAACCCAATAAGAGAGAAGAATCACCATGTTGTCAGTTTTAATTAAATAACATTTATCAACAGGAGGAGGTGTTGCAGCTGGTAATTAATGGAGGCAGGGGAAATACCCAAGTGTCCCACTTGGGTGCCTTCTGATACTCCACTGGCCCTCTGTACCTGAGCAGAAATACAACAGTACCACACCAGACTAAGAAGGGTACGATGACCATGAAATCAAACACCACCACCACTCCAGGAGCGAAGGTTTGGGTCACATCACCAGGTAAGCCCCCAGAGACGTCTGAGGTGCTAACTGAGGGAAGGAAAGAATGAATACATACCAGTTATAGCCCTGAGGTCATTTGCAAAGGTGAATGTTAGTTTATCCCACTAAGTCTCTGTCTTTGGAGTTTTTCTCCCATAGAGATTCCTGGAGGCCATGCGTACCTGCTCACCAAATCTGTATGTAGAAATCTGTGGGGCACAAGAGGTGGAATGTGGCAGTGGTAAAGATTTGCCTCACAGAGCTCCAGCCATGGGGAGTGTAATTGACCAGTGGCCCCAGCTGCTGTGGTCTGAAATCTATCATTGTGTTTACTCTGAAGCCAGGGTTCCTAGCCAGTGACTGAGCATGGCAAAAATGCTAAAGCAGGTCTGTTTCCAGGTTATTTTCATCCTACTAAGTAAGTCTTTTCCATTGCTAATCTTCTCTGGAAATTGCTTCTCAGAAAACCCAGACTAGCCCACCATCAGGCAAATGGTGGAGTAGATAACAAAACCCAGTCTTGGCAGTTTCTCCTAACCACACTACCCCCAAAGCAGGAAATGTGTAGGAGGGGCTCCAAAAATAGTTGTTGAATAAATGAATGAATATAAAAATGACATGTTGACAAGGTCTTAATTCTCCCAAGGAAAGTTCAAAAATTATGAGCATTAAAGAAAAAATAAGATAAGCATTAAGAAAAATTTAGGGGGGCTCCCTGGTGGCACAGGGGTTAAAGACACAGCACTATCAAGCTATCATCAGCCACTGCAACATGAGTTCCATCCCCCGCCAAGGAGCCGATACATGGCACAGCAGACCTCTCCTGTCTTGCCTGCTGCTCCCCTCAGCAGTGTATTTCAGTTGATCTCCCCGTTCTGCTCCCCACAGTCTCTGGTGAATCCTCTCACCCCCCCCCACACACACCTCTGGCCTACACCCCAGTTCTTACATGCACTAATTTTATATAAAAAAATTAGGATGAAAGTTTTAAAACTTCATGGGTCAATGTTTTTTGGGGTTTTTTTTAATAATTTTTTAAAAAGATTTATTTATTTATTTATACAAGCACTGGGTACAGTCAGAAGCGCAGGAGGGTGAGAGAATTCACCAGAGACAGAGCAGGGAGCAGAGCAGGCAGAAGGACAGAAGGACACTGCTGAGGGGAGCAGCAGGTGGCAGGAGAGATCTGCGCGCCATGTGGGACCCTCCTCTGGTGGCCGGGGAGCAGCTGGGGACTGAACTGGCGCTGCAGAGGCTGCCGGCAGCTTCGCAACCAGTGCTCAACCGCTGCGCCACCAGGGAGACCCTAGGGGTTAATGTTTTTTTTCTATTCGATCTTGAAATATTGCCTATGGTAAAGGTCAACTTTACCTTTCTGACCTTTCTATGGTAAAGGTCAGAAAAGAGAAACCACCTATGTAGTTCTGAAAAACAAGGCAGAGACCAGTATGGCTGAGTTGGGAAAAGCATATCCCTAGATAACATAATCAGAAATTTTTGGAAATTGCTCCAGGTGATTCAGCCGCACAGTCAAATGTGGAGAAGTATTCCCATACCTTGAAGCTGCCATAGCCTCCCAAGTGTAAGAAGTGGGAGGGGAGGGGTCTACCCAATCACCTCATTTTACCTTGCTTGCACCAAACAGCCAGTGAGAGAGCAGTGTGTCTTAGGGAAGCAGAACAATTTCAGTCGCTCAGCAGTAGGAGGAGACTTTTTTTTTTTTTTGAAGATTTATTTCTTTATGCATACAAGAACTGGGGTACGGCCAGAGGTGCAGAGGGTGAGAGGATTCACCAGAGACAGGGTGAGAAGAAGAACAGGTGGATCTACAGAAACACACTGCTAAGGGGCACAGCGGGCGAGACAGGAGAGGTCTGCTGTGCCATATGGGTTGCTCCCTGGCCAACCAGGGATCGAACTCTTGCTGCAGAAACTTGTGCTGCAGAAGCTGCGGATAACTTCATAGTGCTGTGCTTAACCCCTTGCGCCACCAGGGAGGCCCAGGAGGAGACTTCTTGACCAGCTCAGTAAGTCTACAATCATCAATCTCTGTGTGCCCTGCATCACACTGAGTACTGTAAGGGTAGTTGTGAGGGGGTTATAGGCCCTACCTTTACTAGCTCTTTCTTGGGGCAGAAATCAACATTCCTGCTGAAAATTCTCCAAAGGTTTCCCATTGCATTTTTTTTTTAAAGATTTGTTTCAAGCTTCCCCTTTGGTGCAGCAGATTGAGCACCGTGCTGTGAAGCTGTCTGCAGCCTCTGTCTGAACTCGTGCTGCTGTGGCTGGCAGTAGCTTGATAGCACAAGTTTGTGCAGCACAAGTTCGATCCCTGGCCGGCCAGGGAGCAACCCACATGGCGCAGCAGACCTCTCCCTATGCCACCAGGGAGCCCCAAATTACTGCCCTTTTAAAAGAGACCCCACAGAGTTCCCTGGTGCCCTGTCAACATGTGAGGTTATGAAAGAATACAGCTGTCTGTGTACCAGGAAGTAGGCTCTCACTGGGCACTGAATCTGCTGATGCCTTGATTGGACTTGCCAATTTCCAGAACTATGAGAAATAAGTTTCCATTGATTACAAGCCACCCAGTCCATGGTATTTGCTTTTAGCAACCCAAGTAGACTAAGACCTCCAGTCTGCTGTTAAAGTCATCTAATACATTTTGATTCCATTCTAGAATGTGCATTTGATTAATTTTATAGACTCTAATTTTGGGACTTCCCTGGTGGCGCAAGAGGTTAAGATGCAGCACTATGAAGCTATCCACAGCCACTACGGCATGAGTTCGATCCAGGGAGGTGACCCACATGGCGCAGCAGACCTCTCCTGACTTGCCAGCTGCTCCCCTCAACAGTGTGTTTTAGTCAATCCGCCTGTTCTGCTCCCCACTCTGTCTCTGGTAAATTCTCTCACCCCACCCCCACACCTCTGGCCTGTACCCCAGTTCTTATATGGATAAATACATAAATCTTTAAAGAAAAAAAATCTAATTTTCTGTTGAAATCCTCTATTTTTCGGTCTTTTTTTTTTTAAAGATTTATTTATTTATGCATGCAAGAACTGGGGTACAGGCCAGATGTGGGGGGTGAGTGGATTCACCAGAGACAGAGTGGGGAGCAGAACAGGTGGATTGGCTGAAATACACTGCTGAGGGGAGCAGCGGGCAAGTTAGAAGAGGTCTGTTGTGCTGTGTGGGTGGCTCCCTGGCCGGCCGGGAATTGAACTCATGCTGCAGAGGCTACAGATAGCTTCACAGTGCTGTGCTTAACCCCTTGTGCCACCAGGGAGGCCCTATTTTTCTGTCTTCCTTAATGGCACAGGGGTTAAGTCTTAGTACTATCAAGCTATCAGCAGCCACTGCAGCCAGGGAGCTAACCCACATGATTAGCAGATCTTTCCTGTCTTACCCGCTGTTCCCCTCAGCAGTGTATTTCAGTAGATTTGCCTGTTCTACTCCCCACTCTGCCTCTGGTGAATCCTCTCACTACCACCACCCACCTCTCACTTCTGGCCTACACCCCAACTCTTGCATGCAAAAATAAGTAAATCTAAAAGAAAAAAAAGAAATCCTCTATTTTTCATCTATTTTATCTCATTTTCAAGCATGTATTAGTCACAATTATTTTAAAGTCCCCTTCTGGCAAGTATGCTATCTGTTGACATTTATTTCGTTTGTTTTTGTTATTTATTTTCGTTCAGTTTTGTTTTTAACATGCTTCATAATTTTTGATTCAATGTGGGACCTTGAAAATAAAAAATTGTAGCAGCTCTGGGTCATATTCTCTTTCTCCAAAAACGTTAAATTTATTTCTTGTAGACAGAGTATTTGTGGGTCACCTTGATCCCACTGAGACATGTTTTCAGCTTTATTAGGCTTGGCTTATTGTATATGGAATGCATCATGAATTTGCGTGTCATCATTGCATAGGGACCATGCTAATCTCTGTATTGTTCCATTTTTAGTATATGTGCTGCTGAATGAGCAGTGGCCTATTGTAGTTTTGCCCTTTCTTCTAGGACAAGGTCTTTACTCCTGGAGTGTGGTCCTTCCTCCTGGAGTATAGCTGCTTTTTTTTTTTTTTTAAAGATTTATTTATTTATGCATACAAGAACTGGGGTACAGGACAGAGGTGCAAGGGGGTGAGAGGATTCACCAGAGATGGGGGGCAGGGACCAGAATAGGCAGACTGACTGAAACACACTACTGAGGGGAGCAGCAGGTGAGGCAGGAGAGGTCTGCTGTGCCATGTGGGTAGCTCCCTTGCTGGCTGGGGATCAAACTCGTGCTGCAGAGGCTGTGGATAGCTTCACGGTGCTGTGCTTAACCCCTTGTGCCACCAGGGAGGCCCTGGAATATTGTTTTTACTCCTCAGGTGTAGCCTTTCTGAGGCCTCAGCTAAAAACTCTAGTTTTTGCCAAGGCTTCGGCACCTCAGTGGGATGTAAACTCTAACCATTTCTCCAGCTCCTGTGGGTCTGCTGAAATCTCTCCAGTTTATTACTCTCTCCGCTCTTGTTTTCTTCAGGATTTGTTGGAATCTCACCCTGTGCGTGCACAACTTAGGAGTCAGCTGATGACTTGGGAGTGATTTTTCAGGCTTTTGACTCTTTCTGTGGTTCCCTTCTCTTCTATACGTTGACCTTTCAGTCTCAGTAATTTCAAGGACTCTGAACTCCTGGGTATTTTTAGTCCAATAAGATTGCAGCTTACTGCAGAGGGTAGATTCCATAGAGCCACAATTTGGACAGTACACTTTGAAAAAAGTCTGGAAAAAAAGACAATAAAAATTTCTGTCTAGAGTTCCCTTATTTATTTCTCTTTTCTCAAAGATTGTAGGCCTTCATATCCTGACTGGATTGATTACTTTATAATCCCTTCCATAGGTGGTTTTATATATTTTTTCTGGCTTGTATGGTTTCAGTTCAGTGAAAATACAAATTCTTACTCATAGTTGGAATCAGAAGTCTTCCCAATTACATAAATATACAGGGCTTCCAGGGCCCTCTATGGCTTGACCCCTGACCAGTTCTCTGACCCCTTCTATAGGCACACTACGAGCTATTGTAGGTTTGGTTCCAAGCCATCACATTAAAGTGAATATTACAATAAAAACAAACCCATTTTTTTTGCATTCTTTTTTTTTTTTTCATTTTTTTTTTTATAGAGGCATGTTTTATTTATTTATTTATTTTATTTGTTTGTTTGTTTTGTTTATACATGCACTGGGTACAGTCAGAAGCATGGGAGGGTGAGAGAATTCACCAGAGCCAGAGCGGGGAGCAGAGCAGGCAGAAGGACCGAAGTACACTGCTAAGGGGAGCAGCGGGCGGCAGGAGAGGTCTGCGCCCCATGTGGAATCCTCCTCTGGTGGCAGGGGAGCAGCCGGGGATCGAACCGGCGCCGCAGAGGCTGCAGGCAGCTTCACAACCCAGCGCTCAACCGCTGCGCCACCAGGGAGGCCCTTTTTTTTGCATTCTTAGTGCACCTAAAAGTCATTTACACTATACTGTAGTCTATTAGGTATGCAATAAATAGCAGTATGTCTACAAAATAACGTATATACCTTAGTTCAATGTCACAGAGACACAAAGTGTCTCCACAAAGTGTTTACAGTCCAAAACTGTAACAGGGTGGTCCCCAGGAAAAGGGGAGGTTCCAGGTTTCCTGTCCCACCCAAGGGAGGGTGGAGCTGATCAGGGAAGAGAAGAAGCTGGAGAAAAGACTGGAGAGGGAAGGAAGCAGGATGGAGAGACAGAAGACTGGGAGGAGGCACATGGAGCAGAAAGAAATGTAAGGAAGCTGCACTTCTTTCTTGGTCTCGGACTGGTTGAAACAGATGTGGGTGAGGGCATCCCAAGTGGCGCAGTGGGTTGAGCGCTGCGCTGTGAAGCTGTCCACAGCCTCTGCAGTGCAGGTTTGATTTCCAGCCGGCTAGAGAGATACCCACATGGCATGGCAGACCTCTCCTGTCTCGCCCATTGCTCCCCTCAGCAGAGTTTTTAGTCTGTCTGCCTCTTCTGCTCTCTACTCTGTCTCTGGTTAACCCTCTCACCCTCCTGTGCCTCTGACCTTTACCCCAGTTCTTGCATAAATAAATAAATCTTAAAAAAAAAAAAAAGAAAAGAAACAGATGTTGGGACCCATGGGGAGTTTAACAATGGCGGCGTTTATCTTAATTTTGGTTTTGCTCTTTTCCTTCCATATTTGTCTGGCCCCTTCTGCCCCTTTCCTATAGGTCCCCACCAGAAGGTGCCTTAGACTTGAGGCAGGCTTTCGGGCCTCAGTGGCCCTGCTTTTGGCCAATCCTGTTTGGCTGGACATTTATCCACAAGGGGATGGGTAACTTTGGGAACTTGATTTGGAAACTTTATTTTTTCCATTTTCTGTACTATACACTAATTTTGTTAAAGTTCCTTTAATAAAGTTTTATTAAAGTTCCTTTCTATTAGGGACTCCCTGGTGGTGCAAGGGGTCAAGCACAGCACTGTGAAGCTATCTGCAGCATGAGGTCAATCCCTGGCGGGCCAGCCAAGAAGTTACCCACATGGCGCAGCAGACCTCTCCTGTCTCACCCGCTGCTTCCCTCGGCAGTGTATTTCAGTAGATCTGCCTGTTCTGCTGCCCACTCTGTCTCTCGTGTATCCTCTCACCTCCCCTGCACCTCTGGTCTGTACACTAGTTCTTGCATGCATATATAAATAAATCTTTTTTAAAACAGAAGTCATTTGACCATATAAAATTTATTTAAAAAATAAAATTTCTTTCCATTAAAGGCCTTACATACTAGAGTATGTTTTTTCTTGATGTGGTGGAGGGCAGAACCTACTTTGAGTGGGCAGGTTTGGGGGTTCCTTGGGTGTCCTTCACCTGCACCATAACAAACCCTCTTCTCAATGTTTGCAGACTTGTACCTAATATTAGGTCTAGACTTGCCTGACACAGCCTAAGCTGGCCACATTTCCAAATTTTTCTGTGTCTTGCTTCTTGATCACTATGATTTCAAGATAGGCACATACACTTCTCCCTATCTCCAAAAACAATCTGTGACTGGGTGTCATTTCCTTAGTATAGTCTGAGAGATAAGCAACTGCTAACTTCTCTTAGTTGACTGCATATTTCTAGCCTTAAACTGGTTTCAAAAATCTCCCACTTGCTGAATACATACATGCTGTATGTATTCACCCCTAGTGATTTTCAAGAATTTTTGGTGCTACTGCTAGCCTGCCTTATTGAGACTTACCTATGCCAAGTACACTGGTTCCCCTTTATCTGCAGGGGATACTTTCCAAGACTCCCTGTGGATGCCTGACACCTCAGATAGTATCAAGTCCTAGCTACACACACACACACACACACACACACACACACAGAGTTTTTTCCTAAATTAAACTGTGGCAAAGTTTAATTTATAAATTAGTCACAGTGAGAGATTAACAATGATAATAATGTAAAAAATTATACTCTAATAAAAGTTACATGAATGGTTTCTCAAAATATTTACATAATATTTGGTTATTTACATAATAATAATAGTTGACTGCAGGTAACTGAAACCTTAAAAAGCAAGAGTGCAACCACAGGTAAGGGGGGGGATACTATATCTGATAGTGAGCATGTGCATTTATCTGGTCTATTCTGGGCTGCCTTCATCAATGTTCAAGTTTGGCAGTAACTTCAGGTCAATTTTGTGGTGTAACAAGGGTGTTAATGGAGAACACAAAATGCCCTGATTCCCAAAGATAGAGTCCTGGGATCCATCAATCACATTGTACTCTATAGACTCAGAATATTTTATTTCATGGGCTCCTTAGAGGGTCCAATAACCTCCCACCTGTTCTAGGTATGGCTAATCTGGTCTTCACTTCCAATTTGGGATCGGAGTGCACCAGGGCAGTGGGAAGTCCCAGGTTTCTGGTGGCAGGCTGTCCCAGTTCCTTCTGTGCTGGTCACCTAACCTTGCTGAATAGAACTATTAACATATCTGTGTCATTCTTTTGTTAAATTAGAACCCAATCCAGACCTACTTCAAACGACATGACGGATGTGAAGATGCACTGGGAAGAAACCATTTCTCCTAAAGTACACTGGTGTGAGATGTCTCAGCCCAAGGTGCTGCTGAAGATGCTGTGTGTTGGTCAGCAATAACAGTTACAGGCACAAACGTAACCTGGGTTTTGTTATTTTCTTTTCCTCCTTTAAACATGAGTTTAAGTTCTGTCTTAGAATCAGGACAGCGAAAAAGAGCTTCACAGTTTATTTAAAATACTGACCATAACTCTTTGAGCTCCATATTGTGGGCCAGGAACGTCCTTATTAGCTTCAATGTTCGCAATTGTACTTCACATTAGAGTTCTCCCTCTTCTTTCTCAGAGGAGATGAATGAAGCTCAGAGAAGTTAAAGAACTTGCCTAGTCTGGAGAAGAGCAAGGGTTAGAACCAGTTCCTCTGTTATCCCGGAGCCTGCGCTTCTAACCCTTAGTCAAAGCTGCCTTCTCCGGGTTTAAGAAAACTTTTGAGGCAGATGGAAGGAAACAGAGAGCGATGCAAGAAGGTACTTTTAAAGATTTTATTTATTTATGCATACAAGAGCTGGGGAGTAGACCAGAGGTGCAGGCTGTGAGAGGATTCCCCAGCGACAGAGTGGGGAGCAGAACAGACAGACTGACTGAAATACACTGCTGAGGGGAGCAGGGGGCGAGTCAGGAGAAGTCTGCTGCGCCATATGGGTTGCTCCCTGGCCGTGGATCCAATTGTAACAGGGTGGTCCCCAGGAAAGAGGGAGGTTCCCCGCCCCACCCAAGGGAGGGTGGAGCTGAGGAGGAAGAGGAGAAGCTGCAGAAGAGACTGAGGAAGGAAGGAGCAGGATGGAGCCAGGAGACCTGGAGGAGGCGCATGGAGCCTAGAGGCACGTGAAGAAACTGCGCTTGTCTTTTGGTCGTGGATGGGGTGACACAGATGTGGGTGAGACCCGTGGGGAGGTGACAATGGCAGCTTTTATCTTGATGTTGATTTTGCTCTTTTCCTTCTGGGCTTGTCTGGTTGTTTCTGACCCTTTTCTGTGGGTCCCCACTGGAAGATGCTTTAGACTTGTGGCAGGTTTTGGGGCCTTGTTCTGGGCCGATCCCATATGGATGGACTTTTACCCACGAGGGGACGGGTAACTTTGGGTTCTTGATTTAGGAACTAGACTCTTTGCCTTACCTGTATTGTTTCCTAGTTTTATTAAAGTTCCTTCCCATTAAAGTCTCATATGTTTTGTGTTGATGCGGCAGATGGCAGAACCATTTAGAATAGGCAGGTTTGGGGGGTTTGGGCTGCCCCTCTCCCTGTCCTATAACACAACTTCTACTGCAGAGGCTGTGGATTTCTTCACAGGTTGAGTCTTAACCCCTTGCACCACCAGGGAGGCCCCAAGAAGGTACTTTTAGATTCCAGGATTCAACTGAGCCTGCAAACTACCTCTACACGTAAAGTTGGATTTTGTGGTGTTTTTTTTTTTTAAATTTTTTTTTTTTTTTTTAAATTTTTTTTTTTTTTTTTTTTTTAAGAGGCACGTATTTTATTCATTTATTTATTTATGTCAGAAGCACGGAGGGTGAGAGAATTCACCAGAGCCAGAGCGGGGAGCAGAGCAGGCAGACTGAAGTACACTGCTGAGGGGAGCAGCGGGCGGCAGGAGAGGTCTGCGCGCCATGTGGGACCCTCCTCCGTTGGCCGGGGAGCAGCCGGGGATCGAACTGGTGCCGCAGAGGCCGTGGGCAGCTTCGCAACCCAGCGCTCAACCGCTGCGCCACCGGGGAGGCCCTGTGGTGTTTTTTTTTTTTCCCAAGTCATTGAATGAATGACCTACTCTACCGGCCATCTTGGTTGTGGCAACCCCAATTCCTTTTCCATCTTTCCGTCACACCTAAGGGAACTAGGCAAAGCCGCTCCACTCTTCCCAAGGTGCACCCCGCCCCCCACACACCCCCGGCACAGAGCGTCGCCTTCCCGACCCCCCCGGGCAGAGGGCGCCGGCAGGGGCGAGCCCGCGTCCTCTCGGGCCCCACATCCGACTCGGGGTCGGCGCCGGCCGGGGCGGAGCTCGCGTGGGCCCCGCCCGAGGCCCCGCCCCTCATTTAAATACGCGGCGCCGACGGCTGCGTCGCGCTCGCCGCGGACCCAAGATGGCGGCGTGTGGACGTGTACGGAGGATGTTCCGCTTGGCGGCGGCGCTGCAGCTGCTGCTGCTCGCCGCGGCCGGGGCCGACAGATACCCGGGCCAGGGCGGCCACGGCCAGGGCCAGGGCCCGGCGCCCAACTTTGTGCCCTTCCTGGGGCAGCCTGGAGGCGGCGGGCAGGGGGGGCAGCCGCTGCTTCAGCTGCCTCAGTCATCTCAGCACCAGCAGCAGCAGCAGCAGCAGCAGCAGCAGCAGCAACAGCAGCAGCAACAGCCGCCGCAGCCGCCTTTCCCCGCGGGTGGGCCTCCGGCCCGGCGGGGCGGAGCGGGACCCGGCGGGGCTGGCGGGGGCTGGAAGCTGGCGGAGGAAGAGTTCTGCAGGGAGGACGTGACCCGCGTGTGCCCCAAGCACACCTGGAGCAACAACCTGGCGGTGCTCGAGTGCCTGCAGGACGTGCGGGAGGTGAGAGGCGGGCCGGGCCGGCAGGGCCGGGCCTGGTGCGGGCCCGAGGGTGTCGCGGGCCTTGGAAGCCGCTGACGCGGGGCTGCTGCTTCTCGCGCTGCCTCTGGGCTGCTCCCGCGCCTTCTTTCCCAGGCCTGCGCCCGGGCGCATTCCGAGAGAACCCCACCCTCCCCCTGCACCCCCTCCTTGGGGCGGGGGTCTGGGACGCGGACCCCGGTTTCTGGCTGCCCGCGGCGAAGGCCCAGAGCGTGTTTATGTTTGCTCTGGTCTTTTGTGTGATGCTCTGAGCACAGAGGCTCCTGGTCGAAGCTGCTGAGGGTTTTGCCATCGCTCTCGACTTGGACAATTTGTAGCAACCCTTTTAAAACATGAAAAATGGTTGGCGTACTTTAGCTGCTCGAGAATGAGCTGCTGTTCCCGGGGAGTAAGATGTTTTTTAGGTAACTCAGGGTCTGTTCTGATGTGTATTCTAGCCAACGACCCGATTTACCGACTTTAGCCCATTCTTTTGTAATTCGTAAATTCTGTTGTCTTCGGGGTGCTGAAAGGAACCGTCTTTTCATTAATTTTGGTCCGTTTGTAGTGAATTTCAAGTTTAAATTGTTCCTGCAAGTAGCTTGAGGAGTTGGCAGCTGCAATACACATACAGTATTTGTGATTGGGCTGGAGGGTCTTGTCTTTCTGACGTCTGAGTGTGATTTTAACAGTATCTCTTCATGAAATCTAGGCTTCATGTTGATGTGATTCCGTTAAGTAACAGAATTTCTTCACAGAATGTCTGTATTTATGATGCAGAATAAGTGCATATTTGACAATTCTCAAAGTTTGAGAGTAAATCTGGTAGAGATAACTTTTTTTTTTTTTTTTTTTAAGGTTCAGGCATATAGAATTAGGCCTAAAAGTTGACAAGAAGAGTGGAGCTGTTGCTTGATACAGTTTTGTTTGGTAAATTATTTCATCAGAATTATCTAAGGTGTTTAGGATCTTGGGAAGACCCCTGGTTTGTAGAAAATTGCTAGTCTTGACAGTCCCTCCCTCACCTGGATCCTAGTCTCACCGTGTTATTTGTTCTTGTATTCTATTTATTCAGAGTAATAGACAAGAGGAAAAGACTGACATAGTCACTAGACAGAGAGAAAGGAAGTTTCTGCAGCCACCAGAAATGTGGACTTCTCATCTATAACTGAAAACTTGAAGGATAATTCCCTGTTACCCTTTATTTGTCAGCCACTCCTCTAGTATTAGAGATACAGCTAAGATTCTTAACTCTGTCAAGGTGCTGGAAATTATCTTTTTGGTCTTTGAGGGCGTATAATAGATATTGTTCCTTCAAACTAGTATCCCACTGCTGGTGACCACTTTGTTACTGGTTTGTGGCAGAAACAGGACTTTATTAAGGAAAGTGGCAAAAAGTGGCATGTTCAAGTTCTTGTCTCTTTTCTTTGTGTGCATTAGGGACATTTAGAAAGTTACGGGAGCAGTCTTCCTTTGACCAGTGCGTGAAGAATTTTGTAGCAGCATATATAATCTTTAAGTTATTTAGATTTGACCAACTTTGGAGTCTGCTTGATTTACTGGGTAGTATCTTTCTTGCATTCTTTAGTGTAGTCTTACTCTACTTTAAGCTTTACTCTACTTTAAGTCTTACTCTCAGCAGGAATATTGTTTCAGTGCAAAAATACCTTTGGCTTGAAATTATGCTCCATAAGAAGCTCAAAAGAATACCAAATAGGGAGCTGTGTTTTCTTCTAGCAAGAGCCACTGGAGTGGCATTAAACAGTGAGAAACCTGAAAAAATGAATTATTTCAGTAACTAAAGTTTTCTTGTTTTATGGGGAAAGACATTTAAACACTTTGAGGCTAATTACTAGGTCTGTATTCCTTTGTAACTTTCCCGAGTGTCTAATTCAGTGTTGAGACAATGTAAATGTTATCTACTGATTGAGAATGAGTAAACTAATGGAGTCAGGGTTTTTTTTTTTTTTTTAACCTTTTACAGAGTATATTTCTTTTTCCTTTTTTAAGATTTATTTATTTATACAAGCAGTAGGTACAGTCAGAAGCACGGGAGGGTCAGAGGATTCACCAGAGACAGCGGGGAACAGAGCAGGCAGACTGAAGAAATACACTGCTGAGGGGAGCAGCGGGTGCTACAGGAGAAGTCTGCTGCGCTATGTGGGACCCTCGCCGGCGCGGTCGGGGATTGAACCGGCGCTGCAGAGGCTGCGGGCAGCTTCACAGCCCAGCGCTCAACCCCCGTGCCACCAGGGGAGGCCCAACAGAGTATATTTCTTTTACTTCAGTTATTAACTCAATTTAATGAACATTTCAAGCTCTCCTGTATCTTTACTTGAAGTGAAGTTCAGCATATCTTGAAAGCTGTCTAGGAAGAGTGATCATATTAATGGAAAATATTTTAGAAAATATTTAAGACTGTAGTGTATGTGTGTATATAATGCCAAAGACAATGAATGTGTTATTTCTGCTATCATACTTTTTTCTGACATGTGAATAATTTAACATTCTAAATCTCAAATGAAAAAGAGGAAGAAGACAAGGAAGTAGAAACAGTTTTATTCTGCAGTGGAAAAAAAGGTGCTAAGTAATTGGAGGTGGGTTTTTGGGGGTGAGGGAGAAGGATTCCAAATTTCCAATTTAATTTCCTCCAATTTCATATACATAAAAATTGGAAGAAGAGTACCATGAATAAACTGCATAGTCTTCTGGAGTTAGAGTTATTTTTATTTTTTTTATTTTTTATTTTTTTTTTTTTTAAAGATTTATTTATTTTTTTTATTTATTTATACAAGCACTGGGCACAGTCAGAAGCGCGGGAGGGTGAGAGAGAATTCACCAGAGCCAGAGCGGGGAGCAGAGCAGGCAGAAGGACCGAAGCACACTGCTGAGGGGAGCAGCGGGCGGCAGGAGAGGTCTGCGCGCCATGTGGGACCCCCCTCCGGTGGCCGGGGAGCAGCCAGGGATCGAACCGGCGCTGCAGAGGCTGCGGGCAGCTTCGCAACCCAGCGCTCAACCGCTGCGCCACCGGGGAGGCCCGAGTTAGAGTTATTTTTAAACTACGTTTTTTTTCCTTTAAAGACAGCAAAGGGAAATTTTATTCCACTAAGTTCTGGAATTAGTCATATCTTATTTGTATATTTGAAAGAGCATAACGTAATTAAATAAGCAAACCAGCTTGCACATTTGCAGAGAAATTATTGAATATTGTATTTGCTGTTCAATAATTGGACTACTTGATATGGAAGTAAGCATGAGTGCTTCTTTATTCCTTTGTTTTGTTTTAAAGATTATTATGTAGAAGAAGTGGGGTGTAGGGGCCTCCCTGGTGGCACAAGGGGTTAAGATGCAGCACTATGAAGCTATCGGCAGCCACTGCAGCATGAGTTCAATCTCCGGTGAGGGAGGTGACCCACATGGCACAGCAGACCTCTCCTGTCTCGCCCGCTGCTCTCCTCAGCAGTGTATTTCAGTCAATCTGCCTGTTCTGCTCCCCACTCTGTCTCTGGTGAATCTTCTCACCCCTCCCCCCCCACCTCTAGCCTGTACCCTAGTTCTTGTATGTATAAATAAATAAATCTTAAAAAAAAAGATGTGGGGTGTAGGCCAGAGTTGCAGGGGGTGAGAGGATTCCCCAGAGACAGAGTGGGGAGCAGAACAGGCAGATTGACTGAAATACACTGCTAAGGGGAGCAGCGGGCGAGACAGGAGAGGTCTGTGAGTTGTTGGCTCTGGCCTGAGATCTAACTCAGGCCATATTGGTGGTATCACTGAGACTTAATCCCTAGGCCACCAGGGAGGCCCACATCTTTATTCTTTGGATACCGTTTCCAGCATGAATTTCTCTTGGCATTTCTTATGAGACTTATGAAAAGGCAAAGCATGTGAGTATTTGAATGGCATTATAGTAAGCCACATTTTTATTTTGAATCAACATGGGGGTATATGGTGTTAGTTCAAATATTTTAAGGTTCTCTCTAGTGTACTGTTTAAAGTTATGTAGTGACTCACCTACAAAATTTATTTAAAGCTACTTATGGTAATTTCAGAGGATATTTTTCAGTTTGTCTAATGCATTATGTGCCGGCAAATTAAAAATCAATGTATAAACTATAGTAAAACTGCATAGAGATTAGTTCTGTAGTTTGCAGTCTTCTTCATTTTGAAGGCATGTGTTATGTGGGAGTTTTTTTTTAATTCCCTGATGAGTCATACTTTTTAAAAGGTCATATATACCCAATGGGCCCACTATTAAGTAGGTGTAATAGCTGTAGTGGGGGATAACAGTCTTGGTTATATGTATTTATGTAGCTAGTAGTAGTTCTAGCTGTAAAAATATGTAACTAGAAAATATAAGGAGAAAAAGGAAAACTATACCCTGGCTTGTTCTGTGCCAGGTGAAGAAGTCATACCATGGGGGGGGGGGGGGAAGATACTGCTTTCCAGTATTCAATGAAGAAATAAGACATGCTTTATGTTGAGAGTAATTTTAAAATGCTTTGTATGTATTTTTCACTGAAACCACCAGTAGCATCCTGTAATCAGAAGTTTCAGATGAAAACACTGACCTCTTAGGAAAGTTTGCTTATGGTGTACATAGTTTTTCTTAGACTTTTTTGGTTTTGGTAGATTAAAAAAAAAAAGCCCTTTCTTTTATGGAAAATGTCAAGCATGCACAAAAGTAGAGAGAATAGTATGATGACTCCCATTTACACATCACTCAGCTTCAACTGTGGCCCTACCTTTTTTTTGTTTTTGTTTTGGTTTTTGAGTGGGAGGAAGTGGTTCAGGGATTGGGAGACTGACATCTTTTTTTTAATTTAGATTTATTTTTATTTGTTTATGCATACAAGAACTGGGATACAGGCCAGAGGTGTGGGGGGTGAGAGGATTTACCAGAGACAGTGGGGAACAGAACAGGCAGACTGAGGAAATACACTGCTAAGGGGAGTAGTGGACGAGGCAGGAGAGGTCCTCCTGTGGGA